GTTCGTTTGCTTGTGGTGTATTCATAGATCTTCAAAAAGCTTTTGATACGGTTGATTACAACATTTTAATAAAAAAGTTAAACTACTACGGAATACGTGGTTTGGTTTTCTTCATATATTACGGATCGCACTAAGTTTGTTTTAATTAATGGATTTGAATCTACACATAAAGTTATTAAATATGGCGTTCCTTAAGGTTCCATTCTTGGACCATTGTTGTTCTTATTATATATAAATGATTTATCTTTTCATTAAAAAAGTCTATGATACACCATTATGCTTCAGATACCAATCTTTTATATATCAACAAATCCCTTACGGCTTTTTGTAAAAAAGTTAATCAAGATCTTCATTGCTTATGTAACTGGTTAAATAGTAAACGTATTTCCTTGAATGTCAATAAAACTGAATACATTATTTTTCATTCCCCTCAAAAAACTATTGATGATATTAAAATTAAAATTAACGGTAAAAAACTTTTTCCATCAAAATATATAAAGTATCTTGGAATATATCTTGATGAAAACCTATCTTGGTAAAATCAACTGTATCATCTAAAAAAAAAACTTACACGAGCTAACAGTATGCTTTATCTAATTCGTTACTATGTTCCTATCCAAACTCTTCGAATGATTTATTTTTCTTAATTCTCTTCTCACCCTTGCTATTGTTGTATTGTTTGGGGTCAAAAAAGAAACTTTTTACTTAATAACATTGCTAGTGTACAACGCGCATTTATTAGAATAATGACGTTTTCCCCAATGAGATCTGATATCGAAAAAAAATTTTCTGAATTAAAAATCCTAAAACTCCATAATCTTGTAAAGTTTTACAATTGTCTTTTTGTGTTTGACTTTCTCCAAAATATACTACCAAGCCCTTTTTCAAATTTTTTTATTAAAACAAACGAAGTTCGTAGTTATCACACCAGGAATACACAAAATAGTAAGCTATACTATTCTTTTTTCAACCAAATCAAATATGGTAAGTTTTCCATAAAACAACAATGTATTTCTCAATGGTACCAGTGTATTCCTGCATTAATAAAAAAGTCTAAGAAAAAAATCCACTTGTTAAGAATTTTTTACTGCTCAACAGAATTCAATTTAAAAATATATTGTTGGAGTATATTTCTTTATAATTTCTCTCTGTACTGTAGTTGTCTTCAATATATAATCTCTTTAACGAACAAGTGGTTTGATTTTTACCTTATTTATTATTTACCTATCTTATATTTATTTATTATTGTCTTATTAATGTTACGTTCTATGTTATTATTATATCTAATTATCATCTATGATTTGTACATACAATTTATATTGCCTAAATATTAATACAGCAATGAATATTAGTGCGCATAGTTACGCATTGTTACGCCTATTGTTCGTTTTGTTAATTACGGTTCTGCATTATTTAAAATACACTTTTTCTTAGTTTTTAAGTTGTTTCTAGACTTTTCTAAGCGCAGTTATATAATCCACGCTGACTTTTGAGTAAAATCAGCAAGCAAATTGGAGCTGATACACTTATTTTTAAGAGGAATTGATGTTATTTATTTTTTAAAATAAAAATTTAAATAATTGTTAGTTTGTTATGTATATATATATATATATATATATATATATATATATATATATATATATATATATATATATATATATATATATATATATATATATATATATATATATATATATATATATATATATATATATGTATATATATATATATATATATATATATATATATATATATATATATATATATATATGTATTTTCTCTTAACAAAAATAGTTGAGATAAGAAAAACAAAAAAAACTTCTTCTGGAATTTGTCAAAAGGGTGTTGTGTTATGCTTCATTTTAAGGTATCTAAGTATGTATTTATTTTTCATTTTTTAGAACAAGTTAGAACTAAATTGACTGGTAAAGTAGTTTTTTTAGTACAATGTTTCTTTTTTAAGAAAACTGTTTCAGTTTGGTCGTTTGTCTTTTAAAAACATTTTAAGCAGTATTTGTTTTACTTTTTTCAGCAGTTAAGAGGAACTGATCGCTTTTTTAGTAAGTTTAATCCATTTTCTCATACATAGGCTAGGATTTTTTTTTATAGAAAGAATAATGAGAATAAAATTTTATTTATCTATTTAATATGAAAAGTTAAATAAAATAAGACTGTTATTTGTGGTCATGTAAGTTTATATACATAAGTTTGCGTTTATTTCAGTCTATTTTATATTTCTCTATATCTATATGTATGTTCTCTCTAAGGAAAAATAATGAGGAATAGAAAAATTAAGAAAATTTGTTCTGGAATTTGTCAAAAGAGTGTTGTGTTATGCTTCATTTTAAGGTATCTAAATATATATTCATTAGAAATTTTTAATTTTGTTTATTCTTTTTCATTACTTTAGATAAATATATACTGACTGTCAAAGCTTCATTTTTATTAACAATGTTGTACATTGTAGCTGCATTCTTTGTTACATTAAAAATAATTGATGCTAATAAATGTTGTTTTAAAGTTGTTAAAAGATTGCATATAAGTTTGTATGTATATTATGCTCAAAGTTTAAAATTTTTTGAAAAAAAAGTGTATGTGGTGATATATGTTATATAGTTGTTTTATAAATGTGTTTGTATAAATGTGTTTTTATAATAGTATGAAATGTATTATATCTAATTTGTGCAAGATTGTTAAATAGGGTGTTTTTATATGCTATGTAACATGAAAAAAATATATTGTGTTTTATAATTAGTATAGATGTTTAGATAATGTTGTTTCCATGATTTCAAAGTGGAGTGACTTGGCAAACATGTAGAGCAAGATTTATCAAGCTTACCAGTCAAGCGATGTTACTGCTTTAGGTCTAAGTGTTGCCTAGCCTTTAATATAACTATTCTAAAAACACATTGCAATATCTTTAATAATTTTTTGCGTAAAATTGTTACCTTTTGGATTATCTTTACGTTGGTGTCAGCTGTTAAAAATGATTAATAGCCTATTAATCATTTTTAACAGCTGACACCAATGTAAAGATAAGCCAAAGGTAACAACATTACGCGAAAAACTATTAAAGATAATGCAATGTGTTTTCAGAATAGTTATATTAAAGGCTAGGCAACTAGGCAACCCCAACAAATGTAAAATAATTATGACATTTAATTTTCTTAAAGTTTTGTATCCTACAGAAAATTTCAAGTCAAACATAAAAACAGTGGGAAATTACGAAATATATTCAAAATCAAATTGTCTAATTTATTTGTGCAATCCTTTTGCAGTAATTTACTGACCGGTCTGTAAATTAGTATTTAAGATAAACGATTCTGTGTGATCCTAACAGATTTAATAAAAAATGGATCACTATTTAAAATCAAATGTAGTAACGGTTCAAAAACATTATATGTATTTAAAATTGATATGCCTAATTGGTTTGTACTTCCCTTTTTCTGTAATTTACTGCCCCATCTGTAGCTTATGCATCAGTTTCCCTGACAGGTCTGTGAATTATGCAATATTTTTTGAATGATATTTTATTGGACTCCATGATTCTTTTATGCATATTTGCATAGTGTAATGTATGCATATTTGCATAGTGTAACCCTAAATTTTAAAATGTTCCTATTCCTCATAGCACTATTTAATATGTATAAACCTTTCCGTCTGTAAAATAAAGAATTCTAGATAATTCCGACAGATTTAATAAAAACTGGATCACTATTTAAAATTTCAAGTCAAATGTTATAATGGTATACAAATGCCAAAAAAATTTAAAAAATATCAAACTATTTAAAGTTTATGTGTTCTATTTGTTTATACAGCCCATTTTCTGCAATTTACTGATCAATTTGTAATTTATGCGATTTTTTCACTACCCGGTCTGTAAATTATGCAATAGTTTTCAAATAATGCATTTTTTGGATTCCATGATTTCTTTAAGCATGATTGCATGGTATAATTATAACTTGACTTCAGATTTTATTTTCTAATAATACGAAAATAGTGTAAAAACCTTGAAAAATAGACGATTCTGGACAATCGCAACAGATTTTCTTTAAAAAATTTTTGGTTTTCTATTTTCTTATAGTTGTTTGATCACTGTAAAAAATTTCAAGTTAAATATAATCACGATTCAAAAGTTATTAAAAAGTCAGTATGACCCCAAAAATATATAAATTAGTAAAAACTCTCATTCTTTAAAAAAGATGATTCTGAACAATCCCGACAGATTTAAAAAAAAAAAAAAATTTGGAATTATATTTTCTTATAGTTGGTGGGTTACTATGGAAAATTTGAAGCCAAATGTATTAACGGTTCAAAAGTTATTCAAAAGTTTATAATATTTTCATTTTCGGTGCTATAACATTGCAAATTTTACATACTTAAGCCCTATACCTTTCGTCAAAAAATCATCAATTTTTTCACTACAAAAAGTTCAATAACATTTGATCCGCTTAACTTCAAAGGGCGAATGATCCCTCATTTTTTAAGTCAAGCCAAGCTCTATACAATGACATCAATTAAATTTGATATTTGAATTGTCTGGAAATTTTGTCAGAAAAATTGTCTGGAATAACTAATTTAATGCACAACTTATGTAACAAATTAATTCAAATTACAAATTACAATACTTTACAAAAATATAAAAAATTTATATTACTTTATAACAAAACTTTACAATATTACGGTATCATTGGCTCTGCACTTAATTTTTGCATTTAAAGCACAACTTATGTAACAAATTAATTTAAATTACAAATTACAATACTTTACAAAAATATAAAAAATTTATATTACTTTATAACAAAACTTTACAATATTACGGTGTCATTGGCTCTGCACTAAATTTCTGCATTTAAAGCACAACTTATGTAACAAATTAATTCAAATTACAAATTACAATACTTTACAAAAATATAAAAAATGTATATTATTTTATAACATTTGAGATGATTTAAAAAATTTTTTTTTCTAATAATTCAAAAATATTTTAAAGTGATACTCAAAAAGAGGTTATTTTAAAAAATAAAATTATTCAATTTAAAATTAAAGTTATCCAATATTAGGTTATAAAATATTTATTTTATATATTACTTATACTATATATATTTTTTTATGGTTTACATTCATTATATTAATATAATATTTATATACTTTTTTTTCACACATTTTGATTGACTGAACGCGAAATAAGATCATCAATATAATCTAGATCACCTGAAAAAAATATCAATATAATAATTTTAATTAATAATAATAAATAAAATAATAATAAACTTAACATCATATTTGATATCATATATTTATTGACCTTGTGTTTTTATGGTACTTTCTTCATATAACGTCGCTTAAATCAGTTAAAAACTAAAGATTTTTTAGTTTTATTTTTTCAAAGTTTCTAAAAACAAAATCAACTTCCTTATTTTATTATTTTTATAATGTAGCTTTAATCGTTCTGTTTGTTTCCATAAATGGGTAATTTTTTATTGCTATATTGTTTAGGAGTTAAAGAAAGTTAAAAAAGTTATTTTAATTTTAACTAATGTTTAAACCTAATTTTAGTATATTTTTTTTATGGTAAATATTTTTTAGTTTGTTTCTAATCAAATTTATCAGACAGATTTATTTAATGTATTCCACACAGAGGCGATTCTACAAATAGAATGAAGGGGGAGGGGGTGAATCCTCAAAAAGTACCGACTAGCTTCTAGAAATAAAAAAAAAAGTCCTTAAAACTAGGGTTGTTAACCGGAGGATTTCGTGCAATTCCGGAAAAACAACATTCTTTCGTAAGGAGATTGAGAACACGGAATTACATTTTTTCGTACCGAATGTTACAAAACATTTAAAATCGCCGATGCTCATTTCGCAAAAGCCACTTCCGAAATTTAGCATTTCGCAAGTTGACATACGAAACAAAACTATTTTGCAACATACGAAAGTAGCGGTTTCGGAAGTCGCACTTGCGAAACAAACATTTTCGCCAAACGACGTTTTGAAGTCTATAAAGAAAATTTGTTTGCCAGACTGATTTTAATTGTAAAAATTAACATCTTTAAATCCCAAAACGTTTATAATGAATTTTTATTTTCAGTATAATAACTATTAAATTTTTATGGTTTTATTTTTAGAAATATTGTTAAAAAATAAAATTTCTTTCGAAACGAAAGTATTTCGGATCACAACATACGAAAGAATTCTTAACGGAAATAAACTTACGAAACGTGCCATAATAAATATATACAACGATGTTTTTTGAACTCATTACGTATATTAAAAATAAGAATGATGGGTAGGAATATACATGTTTTTTTTTTAAAGCATATGAAATTTTTGAAACAGGTTCGAATATGCTTAAGCAAATAGTAAAAAGAGGCTCAAAAATATGCTTTAGCTTAAGCATATTTCTGATAAAATATACCTATTTCAATAATTTCTAAAAGTGTGCACGTTACTAAAGTTCTAGCAGATTCTAGCAGTATGTAGAGTCCTGTTTGAATACGCTTTTCGAAGTATAGATCTTAGAAAATATTGTTTTTTAATTTTAATAAGATATAAATTTGAGTATAAGATTGCATAGTTCAATCAGTTAGATACGTGATAATTCGCCGCAGAGATCCGGGTTCGCATCCCGCAGCCATTGTAACTTTTGTTCATCAAACTCTTTTTACTTAAGATAGCATTTTTTGACCACTATGTTCTATATTACAGATCTTTCGTCACCTCCACAATAGTGACAACCTCTCTTCTGTTAGTTATTCTTTTAAGATTGAGTTCATTGTGCTTAATTCAACACGTTTCCCTTGCTTTACTAAGCTCTACTTAAATTATGATGAAATGTACGTAAAACAACTTTTTCAAATAATATAAATCATTTTGCTTTAAATCTTTTGCTTTTTGTACTAGACATCTGTCCTAAATACTTTGTAATAATTTCTAGCTAACTCTGAGTCTAATATAACCATTTCTGAATATAATTTCCCTGAGGCTCCTACAGCCTATTGTGTTCCATTAAAAGTAACTAGTTTTTGAGTCCAGATAATAATTATAAGCATCTAAAGGTTCACATTACTATTCATTTTCCTGATATATAGAATCCTATTTGCATACGTATCTCTTTCTGTAAATTCTGTTTTATATAGTTTCTTAATTATATATTAAATAAATATTACTATTCACTTAGTTGAATGAGCGTATAGCTCATTCAGTTAAGACATTTGGCCGCGGAGACCCAGGTTCACATCCCGCTGTTTCACATATATTTCTTCTCCTTTTACTCTTTCTGATATCATTTACCTTTAGAGAGATCTCTCGTTCTTTATAATAAAGTATTTAATTGTTTATCACACATCCTCTTCATACTTTATAAAAAGAAAGGCATACTGTTTATCTGTTCATTGAGAGTCCAACTTAACAGGATTTTACTGTATATATATGTATATATATATATATATATATATATATATATATATATATATATATATCATATATATACAGTAAAATCCCGTTAATGTTTTTATATATATATATATATATATATATATATATATATATATATATATATATATATATATATATATATATATATATATATATATATATATATATATATATATATATTAGGTATATTTGTATAAACACTTGAAGAATCATTTGACAACATTTTTTTATAATTTTATTATTTATTATTAAAACTGTTAACAGTTAATATCTTAAATATATCGTAACATAAAATCTTTTGCGTCTTTTTCGTAACTGCACATTCCGGAATGCTTTTTCCGTAATGAACTATTTCGTAAGTATTCTTACGAAATGATTTGTTTCGCAAGTTTTCTTTCGCAATGCTTTATTACGGAATTTTATTTATTTATATTTTCGTATAGCGCGTTACGGAATGCGCATTTTTGCATGCGCAACTTCCGCAATAATAATTCTATTACGGTAGATAAAGATGCGAAATTTTCGCAAGTTTTGTTTTTCGGCGAACAACCCTACTTAAAACGAAACTTTAACCGACTAAATTCGTAAAAAAAACGACTGTAACTTGAAAATCACCTTCTTTGGGGGTGAAACCCATACATCCCCTCGTAAAATCGCCTCTGATTCCACATTTGTACTAGATGTGGTAGATAATAGCAATTCAATGTTGGGTTTGTTTCCTATTTTTGAATTGAAATAGTCAGTTTTTTATCTATATTTGTTTTAATGTAGCTTATCTACATTTGTTTTTATGTTTTCTGGTACCTGCTTTAAAATTTGAAACATTTTTTTTTTTTTTTTAACAAAAAGTATTAAAATAAAAAACTTTGTATCAAATTTATAACAAATTCTAATCTTGCATCATTTTGATTGACTATCAACATAGAAAACAATTTTTTTTTAAACATTTCCTTTAAGAGATCTTTACAACTTTGTGCAATTTAAAAAAAAATTGTTTCAGTATTTAAATACTACCCATTATAGAATTATATAGAATAGCATACATTTTGATTTTTGAAAATTTTAAAAATATTTTTTTATACCTAAAACTATTAAACTAACTAAAAAATAAACAAAAACAAAATATAATCCTTAAAAATACACTACTGGTCAAGGGTTTACTTGAAAAATTTATTATGCGCACAAAAAAAAAAAAAGAATCTATTCTTATCATATTAAATTATTTATATTTTTTACTGAAAAATAAATAAATTTAGTAAAATCGGAGACTATTTTGAAGATCATTAGTATATTTTTCATTTTTTAAAACAGATTTTTTAAACAATTTTTACTGTATTCTCTTTAAGTAACTTCCAACACTAATTAGTGGTTGCTTGCAGCCTTGTTGGAAGCGAAGATGTTAAAAAAAAAAAAAAAAAAAACCTATGCTAATGCTAATGTTAGTGACATGATATGAAGTAGAACTACTTTTGGTTGCCCTAAAATTACACAGAGGCAAAAAAAATTGATTTTAGCAACAAAAAGTTTTAATTTTAAAAGATCAAAATATTGCAAATGAACACATTGTAACAGTGTTTTGATGCAACATCAAGCAATAAAAATTTAAATGAACTATAATTCATAATAAAAGAAAATTTTTACAATATTTAATGCTTAAAATAATCCCAAGTACTAAAATAATAAATGACCATAAAAAAAAAAATTCTTGGTTCTGTTTTCTGTTTTTCTTTTATAACTAAAGCTTAACAAATTATTTTTTCCTCCAGTTTTAAATCCACTTTTAAGTGCTAAAAACCATATAATATTTTTTTTTCACATTTTTTTAAATTTAATTTTTGAGTTTACATTTATTTCATGCCGTAAAATATAAACTTGGATGGTCTTTTAATTCAATAAATGCTTGTACTTTAATAGAAAGATTATATTGAAATAACAAAAAGATTTGAAAAAATTGAAAAATTATATTATTGTTTATATTGAAAGAATTTAATTGAAATGAAAATTATATACGTCAACACCATATTCATGAGGTACTTCTGTCAAACATGTAAAAAACGTTTTTTGGAGCATTTTCTGGTCCAAAAATGAAATTGTTTTAACAATTTTGTGATAAGTGAAGCAAAATTAATTCTATTTTATGGCGCCTTACTAAAAAAGATCTCGAATTTTATGTACCAATTATAACATAAAAGATGGAATTTGCTAAGAAGGCCCTTCAAGGAACTTTAATCATCGTGCTCTTCATCATTTGTGCTATGCACAAAAAACAATGATGTCAAAATTACTTTATTCAATAAAAATCTATTTTTTTCAACACCAGTTCAAGTTAACAAAATAGGAGTTTGAGTTAACAAAAACAAGAATCTGCTTATTTTAGATTTTTTAAATTCTGATTTACATGGAAGATCAGTTTAGGCCAAAGCTTCTTCATCTGTACCCAATGATGATTTGATTAAAAAACTGAACAGTTTCAAGAAACTTGATAAAGATATTTATAATGTGCTTCTGTCACATGTGTAAAAAACCATATCGGCTCTTAGGGCAAATGCAGCACATTTTTTTGTTAAACAATGTTTTTATTTTTGAATTGACTTTCATAACCCCTTTTATTTCAAAAGATATTTAATAGTAATAAAAAAAATTAAATAAAAAAAAAAAGATAAATAATTAAAAATTACTTAATTATAAATATATATATATATATATATATATATAATAATAATAATAATAATATATATATATATATATATATATATATATAATAAAATAAATATATATATATATATATATATATATATATATATATATATATATATATAATTATATATATATATATATATATATATATATATATATATATATATATATATATATATATATATATATATATATATATATATATATATATATATATATATATATATATATATATATATATATATATATATATATATATATATACATACAGACGTGGCATAAGTAGTAGATGCCATACCATTAAATGAAATTAACATAAAGAAAATAAAAATTTTAAACATTCATTAAAAACTTTATTTTAGATGCTCTTATGTTCTCAGATGTTTTTTCCAAGTTATTGTCTAAATGAATATCTTATTTTTGCCTAAATTAATACAAGTTATCACTGAGGAAAAATTGCTGATTGTGCAAATTTTTGTTAAAGATATTGAATTAGATAAAGACACACCTAATTATAAAAAAAGTATGTTTTCTATATAACAAAGTTTATCAGAACCTGTATTGAATATGGTATGCATTTTCCTAAAATCTTGCAAAATGTTATGAAACCAATCTAGAAAGCAAATAAAACGTGAAATTAAATAATAAACATATATATATATATATATATATATATATATATATATATATATATATATATATATATATATATATATAAAACAATACTTTCAAGTTTAAAAGAACAAAAGGAACTTTTTAAGTTTGGGAATAAATGATCATAAAACAATTTAAAACAAAAATTGTAAAACATTGAAAATAAAATAAAATTTCATTACCCCTTTTTTAAATGATTTTTTTTCTATCTCATATGCTAAAAAAAAACAATTTTTTTTATAATTGAGTAAAAACATAAAAAGATTAAACATTAAAAGATAATTTTAACACAGTAAAAAAAGTTGTCATTGACATAAGTATTAAATAAATTTATTTTTAAAATTTAAAAAATTTTAATTTTGATAAAAATTCAAAAACAGATAAAAAATTAGATTGATTAGTTTTCTAAAGAACATTTTTCAAGTCATCATAGTCTAAACCTATGTAAGAAATTTTCTAAACAACCAAGTTTATAACCAAGTTTTTACTAACCCAGTTGAACTGGGTTAGTATAATTATTAATTATTATTTATATATGCTAATTATTAGCTTATCTTAAAACCTAAGATTTTGTAATTGATCAGCCTTATGCAAACGAAAGAAAAAAAAAACTGTTCAATTAATGATTGCTCTGTTTTCTGTATAGGTAATATGTATTAACAACCTTTAATGCAGGATATTTATTTTTTAAAAATATATAAGGTATTTGCCAACATCTTAAGGTATATTTCACTAATTTCTCATCAATCCTTAACCCATTCTTCATGATTTCAAGTTATTATAAGCTATTTCAGCCTCAGCAATGTTAAAGATGTAGTACATAAACAAATCATGTGAACTTAAAACAAAGCTACATTGAAACATTATATTATATTTAGTCTTTAAAAAGACCGTTATAACAATAGAATAATGCAATAGTAATACTCTATTCTTATTTACTGTATAAACAACTCAGATAAAAAAAATTGTAAACAAACGAAGCAGGATTATGAACACAATTATGAACACAAGTAATGTAAAAGTAAAATAAGCAAGAAGCTTTTTTTTCAAAGATCAAAAATTTAATATGACAATATGAAAGCTCATGACTGAGATTTGGGTTCCAGTCACGAGCTTTTATATTATCATATAGAATTCATTGGATTATTAACAATTTACTCATAAAGTTAGGCGATAACACATTAATGTTAAACAATTTTTTCATTGATCATGAAAATAAAATTTAAGAATAGATTGAATTGATTTTTCATTGATCATGAAAAAACAATTCAATCTATTGTCTATTTTTTAAAATTACAAAGAAAGTTCTCTGTTTTTGGTGGCAATATTCTATTGTAAGTATTGCTTGAGTTTTGTATTTACCTCACCAACCCAATTTAATTCATTAAAATTGCAAAATCTTTGTTAACTTCTCATTTCACATAATTTCTGAGTGAAAAATTTTTACACAACAGTTTACTTTAAAGGAGATTTTTTTTCAAATTTCAATGTAAGTGTCTAAAAAAAACTATAAAAAATTGTAGCTAAAAAAGGAACTATTATTTTAAGTTTTACTTATTTATTTATTTTTTTAAATGTTAATTAACCTCCCTAAGGCCCATAAGGTCACTAAAGTCAAGGAGGCTACTTAATTGTGATTTAAACCCTCTCTCAACTCAATAACTCCAAAACATGAACCTTGAAAAACAAGGCTGCCGTGCAGAGAAACAAGTTGAGCACGGTACTACCAGGGACGTTGTGGAGATTAAACTCAGAACCTCCTGCTTATCTTCCACTACACCACTACCGCATCTAGTGACTTTATTTTTTACATTCTTATCCCGTATGACAGTATCATTTTTAATATTTTTTTTGGAAGAAATCTAATTTATAGATACTGTTTACAGTTTTAAAAACTAAAACATTGATGTTAATAAACTTTAACGCCAAGTCTTTCACAAGCTGATAAAGATTATCGTGCAATGATGGTATAGTATGTTTCATAAATATGTAATAATTTAAAACAAGATCCGTCTGTCCAATTTAAACAACTCAGTTAAAAATTTTATTGGAAAAAACAGTATAAAAGTCTGACTAAACTATATCTTTCACGAGAATCAATTGATAATGTAGGTAACAGAGGGGTAAAGTAATGAACTACATTTACTCTTGTTTCTGTAATTAACTAGCTTTTGGTATACTTTTACTTTTTAAAATAAATATTTTTTGTTTAAAGTTAATTTCCTCTACATTTTAAACCATATACCTTACTGAGTAAAAAAATTGAGAAAATAATTAAAAAAAAAAAAGTCATCTAGGAAACTTTCACATTGTCTACTTAATGCAGGACATAGTTCAAGAGGGCCTAAAATCTACTAACTTTGAAAACCAACTGCATCTCAAACTTAAAAAAAAATACGTTGTGTAAAGATATACAGAAAGCATAGCTTGGTCTTTAATACTTAATGATCCCAGAAAGCATAGCTTGGTCTTTAATACTTAATAATACTCTATTTAGATTACATGTTTTGTAGTTTAATTTTTCGTTTAAAAAAAGGATGCTCTACTGAATCCACAGTTTACTGAACCCACATTCTACTACAGCTAAATATTACACATATTTAGTGGTACTAATAATGTAATATGTTACTCTCACTGAATCTTCTTCTTTATGTCTTCTTGACGTAAAAAAAAGGATTCAGTTTTGTGACCTCTCATGAAAACTCTCAAGCTTAAGCCTCTCTCCCATTGCCGTAAAGTTGCATCTTTTTCTCTTTTCTATAAATACTTTTAAGACTTTTCAAGTCCTCTGTCAACTGTTTATTTGCTCTTTAACTCTATTCTTTTTTTTTCTAGTAACTTTTCCCAATTTATTCCCAAATTATTGCTTGCAGTCTTGATGGGAGTGAATCAGAATAAAATTAAAAAAAACCTGCAAGAAAATATTTTATTGCACTAATAATTTTCTTTAACTTGACTATATTATTTATTTACTAGTCGAGAAGGAAACATCGTAATAGCAGAGCTAATCAAGATGAATTCCCTTCATACCAAAATACTACTCATACGCTGAGTAGGCGGAACCAGGATTTGAACTTGCAACCCTACTGCTACAGCAAATAATTATCCAAACTATATATAGTTCGGGTAATTATTGGCTGTAGCAGCAGGGTTGCAGGTTCAAATCCTGGTTCTGCCTTATTATTGGTTATATAGCAGCGCTTTAACGAACTGAGCTATCCCGGCACAAAATCTCGTTAAATTTAGTTTTACTATTTTTTCCTAATAAATTGAAATTGTAAAGTTCTTATTATAATTTAACTAGATGGAGATTTATTTTTCCTTGTTTTCTTTAAGACTAGAATTTTTAAACTACACCCAACCCAAACTGTTAAAAAATTAACTTTTACTCTGAGTGCAAATTTAATAAACTACTTTTTACTTTTAATTGAGTTAATTTTTAGACTTTACTTGACTTTACTTATTTTACTCAAGTAAAATTTTACAAGAGTATTTTTACTTAAGTACAAAATTTTGTTACTCTTTCCAACTCTGTCCAAGTCCAAAATTAATATAATACAAGCACTACTCATTTTGGAAAGTAAACTTTTCTGCTATAGTGCTGTCAAGAAACACTTACTTAAACTTATTTAAAAATCTGTTACTAAAATAAATTGAAAATTAAAAAAAAAACGTTTTTAAGTATCAAGATGATCTCTGCATCAATTACCAAAAACAACATATGACTAAAGGAAAACTGCAAGAACCATGCGTTACCAATATTTATTATATTTCAGATATGATAATAATTATAGTATGATAGTACCATGCGTTAAAGCACCTCATGAAAGTATTCTCAAAAAAGTTTTACTAAAACAACATATGACTAAAGGAGTGACAAAGTGGTTGTTTCAACATATACATTTTTTTGACACATTAGTCATTAGTAATCTTGCTGCTTTTAAATAAAGAAACAACACTCAAAATGCTTACTTCCTGTTAAAAAAACCTTACAATTCACTATGAGTCATATTAGATAATTCAATTTCATTTCTCGGATAACTTTTGCATTTTGCTAAAATCCCCACACATAAACTAAGCTTCAGTAGAGGCTTTACAGTAGTTGATTTATTAACATTTTTTAAATGGTGAAACCTTTTTGTTTTACCCTATTAAGTTAAGTTAAATACACAAAACCCGTACAATAATAACAAATTTTTATTATTGATTTATTAATGAACACGAACAAACTGTTGATTTTAATTATAACTATAATAAAAATTAACAACACATAAAACCTATGAAATTAACAAATCTCTATTTTTATTATTGTTTAAACTGTAATGAAAATATTAAAAATTAAAAAAAAGCAACATAAAAACCAATTAACTGAATAAAAAATATAGTCTTTTCCCCTGATTTTTTAACAATTTTTTTGTTGTTATCTGAATTCCCTGACTTTTCTCTAATCTGGCAGACACCCTGATATAAAAGAAACTTTTTTAATTTTCAAAATATTCCAAAAATCTTTATTCCTAAAACTAACATTAATGAAAAAAAAAAACGTATTGGTAACAAGTAAACAATTACCAAATTTTTTTGTGCCATAGTCCATGACAGATGCATTTATTTTCTCAGTAGTGCTAAAAAGTGCTAAAATAAAATTATATTTTTTAATATTTATGTAAAAATTTTTAAAATTATTTAAACATAAAAAAAAAAAATTGAAAACATTAATTGAACATAATAAGAATAACTATATTGGCATTGACATATGTAGTAGACAAAATTATCACAATATATAAAAAATTTAAAATTTAATTTAAAATAATTGGGATTTGGTTTCTTAGAGGCATTTACCAGTCATTTTAAGTTTAAACTTATGTAAAAGCCTTGGATGTTTTCTGAAAGCCAAAGTTAATATGAACCCAAAGAATATAAGGGGTACTCTAATCTAGATCATAGAAAAATTTTCTCTAACAAATAGGCAATATAATGCGAACTATCATAAAGAAATACAAAACTTTTTTTTTTTTAAATTCTTATTTTATATTGTGCTGGGTTCGTTTAAAAGCTAATTTTTCAGGACTAACAGTAATTTGCAACCAATAGCCTTTTCAAAATGCTTGATGTGGGCCTCTTTGATATGGTGATGCAGGCCAACATCAGTAAGGGCTTGCCAAGGTCAGATCTTAGTCTTAAAAGTGCATAGCATTCTTAAATTCTATACTAACTACAATCATACTATTATCAATATTTCTGTAGCTTACATGATTATTATGGTACTTTAAAAATTCAAACAACTCATTTAACAATTTATTATTTTATAGTAACATTTTTTATATTAGGAGAAATTAGAAAACACATATTTTTTTAAATTTAAATGTTTTATTAAAACTATTTATATAATTATTTTTTAGTTATTTACATATTTTTATTTATAATACAAAAATCATTAAAAAATATATAGCTATAGTTTATGCTACCAATTTATAAATGTATGTAAATTTATAAACTGTACTTTTAGCTATTAGGTGGACATGGAAAAATCAGGTCAACTTTAAATTGAGATTTCTCTAAAACCACAAATGCTTTTTATTTCTTTTTTTTTTTTTTGAATTAAATGTTACTTCCTTATCTTAAACTATGTTGATAAACTTTTGTTTAAAAATCAATGATTTGCAAAAGGTTTTGGAAACAAATTGATGTGCATAAATAAGTTGTGAGTTTTTTTTGCAAAAATCCATCGAATTCGTAAAGCTTGATTGCTAAATGTACAAATGTCCCAAAATCTACAGTCATTGATATTATAAATAAGTTCAAGACTACTCAAAGCTTCAGAAGAAAACCTGGACGTAGAAGAAAGAAAACTTTCCATAAAGGTAAAGTTGATTTTACATTCAATAGCAAGAAATCCAAACCAGCAATATCTAGCAAGAAAATTCAAGATTTTGTGTTCTTATATCAAAAAGTATTTAAAAATGCTGGAACTAAAGTATTTCATAAGAAAAATGCACCTAAAAGAAGCTTAAATGGTGAAATGAAAGGAATTTGACACGAAAATAAGTTAATTAAAACAATGAAACATATTGCAAGGCAAAAATTTCACAACTTCCTGGTCAACAATTAAACTATGAGAACAAAGATAAACCTGTCGATGATCATTTTAAATATATTTGACGAGAAAGATTTGCATCCAAGTTCTTTGTGTTGCAAGCAATTTGTAGCTGGGGTATGCAGTCTTCTTGTTTTGTCACTAAGAAGACCTTGAATGCTAATCTCTATATCAAAGAATGGCTCTAAAAAAGACTTTTGCCAGTTATGAAAAAACACAAATACCGGTGTCTCATTTTTTGGCCAGATTTTGCTGCTTCTCATCTATTCTAAAAAGGTTACTCAGTGGTACAAATATAATAATGTGAAAATTGTTCCTAAAGATGCGAATTCTCTAAATTGTCCTAAAGAGCAGAAAAACAAAGGTTCTGGGCAATACTTAAAAGGGTTCTTCGTAAGACAGGTGGAGTAACAAAAAATAAAAAGAACTTCCAAAAAAAGTGGTTTAATGCCACTAATAAGGTGAAAAAAGAAAAAACGTACAAAATGATGACAGTCCATCAAGCCCCTTAAAATTCAGTTGAAACTCTAATTGATGTAAATACATTTAATAATTAAAAAATTGAAATAAAAGAATTTATGGTTTTAAAGAAAACTCAATTTAAAGTTGACCGGATTTTTCTGTGTCCACCTGATATATTTTCAGACAATGGCTTCAGGAAAAAAATGCCAGATTACAATACAAAATACAAAATAGAATACAAAAACGCAAAAAAGTGTTGACAGTTTTATTTGTTAGGCTTTCCACTGCAAAGCTTTGCCTCTAATCGACTTCCAACAACTGGAGAAATGCTCAGAAAGTTTTACTGGCTTAACATTAGAAAAGAAACTAGATAACATCTGAAAAATTTCTGAATTTTATCTCTTGATTTGTACTTAACCATTTGACATTTTTTTAACACTACTAAGATGAACTGTAAAGTTGGATGTCTTCATGCTTTTAGAAAAAGTTATTTAAAATACAGCAAACTAGCAGAAGGAATGTGTAAAGAGGATTGGCAACAGACAGTGTTTGCATTTTGAGAGAACTAGTAAACTTGTGGGACAAACAGCTGGATTCCACAATTTTCATAGATTGCTGGATTTCAAAAATTTCATAGCCACAAAGCAGCAAATCCGAAACAAATTAACCAACAAGATCAATGAGTACCAATTCCTAAAAAGACTCAAGATTTTAAGTCTACCAGAAGGAAGCTTCTGCAAAAAAGTAAACAACTTTCTAAATGAAAGCAACTTCTTATTCCTAATTTATAAGGAATGGTGATCCAATGAAGAACAAAGAGGGTTGAAAAGAAGACATTGAATCCCTAAAACACTCAATGGTCAAGATAGCGGGTATTGATAACACATTTTGAAAAAGTGCTTGTTTGGCTGTGGAGAAAATAAGAATGGAGGAAAAAATGCGCTCACAAGATGAAAAGAAATCAAGAAAAAAAGAATAAAAGCAAGGTAGAAGAACTAGAACAAAGAGAGTTTGAAGTTTCCTGGTATAATTTATTTTTTTATAAAATCTCGGACAAAATGTCCAATCAAAACATGTTTGGGTCAGACAGTGCTCCATCAAATTTTTAAAGTATAATTTTGACAGTTATAAGGAACCAAGTTTTTTTTTTTTTTTTTTTAAGTTGATTAAGGTGCTCCTAGAAGTCCTTACGGTCTTATCACAGAGCACCGCGGAATAGCATTTAGTAGGAAGTTCACCTCTCCTTCCCAACTGATGTATCAAAACTTGCCCAATGGTGGGGTTTGAACCACGGATCTTACGTTTCTGAGGCAAGAATATTTTATCACAGATTTTTGTTTTTTAACAAAGTAGTTTCAATTTAATATTGTATGTTTTTTTAGCTACACTTAAATTTTCACGCTGTAACTGACAATGCTTTTTTTTTTTTTTACAATTTGACAACAGCTGTTTTGATGTTTTATGACGAAGTTAATTAAATTTTCTAATGATTTAGTTGCTTTATTTTTTTTTTTTTGTTTCTATTTTTACAAAGAATCATTTGAGAGTTTTTCTATTAAACTTGACTTACTATAAAATAGTGATGTAAATTTTCCGGTAAAACTTAATTCAAAATTAACCGGTAAAATTTACCGGTAAATTTTCAATCAAAGGAGGTAAATTTTCCTTAAAAAAAAGTGAAAAAAAATTTCAAAGAGAGGTAAATTTTCAAAATTTACAGTAAAATTAACCGGCAAATTTTCCGGTAAGTTTAACCTTCACGACACTACTAAATGATTAAAAAAAAATTTGAAAAGAGTTCATCAATTTTTTAAACAATTTTTTTTTTGCAACTGTTTGAAAAATATGTTTATACAACTTAAAAATATATTTTTTTCTTTTCAATATTTTATATTCACTTTTCAGTAATTTAAATAAAACTTGTTCATTTATTAAACAATCAATAGAAGTAATTTGTGAAAGCAATTTGCCTAACTTTAAATGAATGTTTTAAAAAATAAGTTTTAAAGTAATATGTTTCGAATACAATTAAAAACATAACAAAAAGTAAGTTTTATTTTAAAGCTAATTTATTTTCTTTTTCGTAGGAATTGTTTTGCTTATTGTTTTTCAATTTTTTTCCAAGTTTGAATTCAACTTAAGGTTTCTTTTTTCAGCGCATTTCTGAAACATTTAAATCATCCAAACATCTAAACAGTCATGGTTAAGTTGTAAACAAAAAAATCATTAGCATGGTCAGCAATAGCATTCGATTGCATGCCATTCCTGCCCCAACTTTATTTTGTAGAATTTAATTCCTGTCGGTCAAAATTTCCGATTACTTTGTAAATTGATCAGATAATCTAAAGTTTTAGCCAGAAAATATCCAATGTCTGACCATTAAATTGAGCTTTGCAGACAGTGATAGCCTTCCAGACTCTGATGAAGCTTTTATGCCACCTACAAAGACCCGAAAGATTTCAGGAGAAGTAAAAGTTAGTCTTCAGGTAAGTATGGATAAACTCCTTAATAATTGAATCCCAATCATGGCAAGAAAAAGTATTGGTGTTCAACCTGGAACCTGTTTGTTGACGTGTCTTTTCCTCATCAGAGATCAACTCTGATGAGGAAAGCACACACTGTAGTAGAGTCAAAAGCCTAGATCATCTGAGAGCAGAACATGGACAAAGTAAGAGGCTAAAAGCCACTTACTTTGTCCATGTTCTGCTAGTGTCAGTGTGAATCAAAGTGATTCACATTGACACTAAAATTTTTATGCAGTACACCAATAAAGAAGCAATTTCCAAAAGTCATAAAAGGAAAGCTATAAGCGTTTTTTTTTCCTGAAGCTGACCCTTTAGATTATTTGCTTGGTATTTTGAAAATTAAAAGTTCTTAGGGAAGCGACCACTCTATAGCTATTCAAAGTATCCTTGAATACTATGAGCAACACAGGAAAAAACAAAGAAGCATAGAGTGCATTTCTTTTACTGTTACTGTTCTCTCTGTTACTGTGGTACATACCATTCTATTTAAAAACAAAGGATTATATATTTTGTTAGTTTTTTAAAATAGCTATCATTTAAACCATAGTTTTGAATTAAAAATTATTAAACTTACATACATTTTAAGTTTCAGAACAAATATCCTACTTGAAACCAACACTGAGCTGGCAAGATATTAGTGAGTCAACTTTTGTGTTTTGAGGCTTTTTTCCTTTAGATAAAACAGGTGCTTCAAATCATCAATCCTTAGAGGAAGCATAGTATTTTTGCAGACTTTCTGACTACAAAATTATCTTTCATTCTGGTACTCTGGCAGCTTTTTTAAGGCTTTTACAAACAAACAGCACCAAAAAAAAAACAACTTGATTCTCTCTTTCTTGTTGTCATTTTTAATTCTATTATTGAATTAAATATCTTATCTTAGTGCCATTTGATTTAAAAAAAGTTAAACAAATTTTATAAAAACAATACAAAGAGAATTACAAAGTAATGTAAATGCCTCAAAAAGAAATGTTTGAAATGATAAACAAATCTTGTCTATCTTTTATTTGTATGATGCAATTTTCAAGATTTTGTTGATATTAAACAAAAAAACAGAAACATGTTAAACAAAAAAAAAAAACTGCATCATTATTAGAAGTTACCAAAATTAGTTAAAAAAGCCTCTCTAACTCACTTTTTAAAGGAGATTATTCAAAATTTACTGTTGATTATTATGTTTTTATAATTTATTTAAGCATACATATAAAAATTTATTGTTATCAGAAGACATTTCACCAAAAAAATGGATCCAAGGGTTCATTGAATACAACTGGTAAAATGTGTCTAAGGCTAGCACAATACCTGAAAATAAACCTACAACAATTAATATTGGCCTAGGTCTTTTAAATAACATAAATATTCATTTGTTAAAATAGTTTGAAGTTCGTTTTTTGTTTTTCTTTAGCAAAAAATTTCCTTCTTGTTAGTTAAAATTTTTCTATGAACTAACTTCTGAATACCGCTAAGGTGTATTTGCTGAAGAAACCAAATAGTCATCAGAAGAATTGAGAAAGCAAAGGTAAGTGTGAAGTAGAAAAAAAAAATCTAAACTGAAAAAACAAATAAAAAAAACTAAACATTGTATGATTCATGTTTCTCTATACATTCTATCAAATAAAAATAATATTTGATTTTTATATATTTTTTTGAACTACAAAGTTAATACAAACCCGATTTATCTGTGATGCTAAGTTTATATTAAAACATTAAATATTTTGATTGGTCATCATATTTAACATAAACAAATTTAACAAACAAAATAATGCTTATTGAGTTTTCTCTATTTGGTAAAATGTACTAAAAAGAAGAATGTAGTTAAGAATTAATATTTCTTATAATATATAAAAAAGAATATTTTTCAATTTTAAAAAACTTATCAAAATTTTTAAACCTAAATAGTACTATTAAAAATAACCACGCCTTAGCAAGGATTAAATAAACACCTGATTGATTTCGAATTTCCATTATTTTTTTTGAATGTTCAAACAACCAATCTAAAATTAATTAAAAAAAAAAAAAAAGTACACACTTTTTCAAATTTAAGTAAAAGAAACTCAAGAATAAATAAATTATTTGAACATAATTCAAAAAAAAAAAAATAAAAAAAAATATTTTTCTTAAACTATTAACAAATCTGTGATGTTTTTAAACAAGGAAGCATATATAACCTGATTGATTTGTGATGCTAAACTCATTTTAAAACAATAAATATTTTGATTGGTCATATTTAATACAAACAAATTTAAGAAATAAAATTACTAAAAATAATGCTTTTTGAGTTTTCTTGATCAAGTAAAAAATAAAAAAAACAAAAATGTAGTTAAGGATAAATATTTCTAATAATATATAGAATAGAATATTTTTTGATTTAAAAAAACCTTTTGAAAAATTTCAAACCTAAAAGTATTATAGAAAAAACAAAAAAAACCACACCTTCGAAAGAAGTAAATAATTACCTGATTGATTTAAAATTTCCATAGTATTTCTTGAACGTTTAAACAACCAATCTAAAATTAATTGAAAAAAAAAAAAAGGAAAAGTACAACTTCTTTTTCAATTTATAAAAAAAATATTCAAATATTTTTAATATTAAACGATTAAATTTATATGATCTTGACTTAATTCTGAAAAATTTTTTATACTAAAACTTTTGTAAGTAAAAATAAAAAAACAGATCTTGGAAATAATTAACTAATTAAGATAAGAGATAAGAGATAAAAGTTATATAAAAATTAGAGAAAGCTAACCAATATATTTATAAAAACTTGAAACTCAAGAAATAATAAATAGAAATATTATCATTCTAAGAGACCTTATTATTGTTATTATAGTCTGAGTCTATGTTTAAACTGGGATGTTTTTTAAACAATTAAGTTTATACAAACCTGATTTATTTGTAATGGTAAGTTTATTAAAACATTCAAAAATTTAATGGTCAGCATATTTAACATGAACAAAATTATAAAATAAAATTGCTACACATAATACTTATTGAGTTTTCTCCATTGGGTAAAATGCATTCAAGACAAAAATGTAAATAAATAGAAAAGAATATTTTTTGATTTTAAAAACTTTTCAAAAATTTTACAACTAACTATAAATAAAAATAAAAAAACCAATCATTGGCAAAAAAAAATTACCTGAACAAAATTGAATTTCCATGTATGGATCTCGACAAAACGTGGTATCCAAAGCTAAATCTTAATTTATGTAAAATAAATTCAAAAATAAATAAACAACTTAAACATAATTACAAAAAAAATTGAAAATAATATAAGATAATACAACATAATTAAACATAAAAAAAAAACAGATCTTTGTAATAATTAACTAATTACAGAGATAAAATTTATATAAAAATTAGAGAAAGCTAACTAATATATTCATGGAAATTTAAAACTCAAGAAATAATAAATAGAAAGATTATCATTCTAAGAGACCTTATTCTTGTTATTAAAGTCTGAATCTATGTAGAATCTGAGATATTTTTTAAACAACCAAGTTTATACAAACCTGATTTATTTGAGATGTCAAGTTTATTAAATTTATCAAGTTATTTATCAATTTATCAATTAATTTATCAATTTATCAATCAATTTATCAATATATTTATCAATTTATCAATTAATTTATCAAGTTTATTAAACCTTAAATATTTTGATTGGTCGACATATTTATAAACAATTATAAGAAATAAAACTGCTAAGGATAATGTTTATTGAGTTTCCTCGATTGAGTAAAATGTAGTTAAAAAAAAAAATGTAATTAAAGATATTTATTTCTAATAAAATATAGAAAAGTTTTATTGATTTTCAAAAATATTTCAAAAAGTTTCAAACCTAAACGTACTATAAACAAAAACAAACAAAACTTGGTTTGTCAAGAAGAGAATAACTACCTGATTGATTTAGAAGTTCCATTATTTCTCTTAGCAGTTCAAATAAACAATCTAAAACTAAAACTAAATCTAAAAAAATAAAAAAAATTACAACTTTGGTATAAGTAAACGAAATTCAAAAATTTTCTTGAACATAATAAAAAAAAAAATATATACTTCAATTTTTTTTAATATTATACAACTAAACTTATACAATCTTTATTTAAATGTGATGCTACAGGTAATATAAAGATGAAATTGTAAAACAAGTAAAGGATAATTATTTCTTATAATATATAGTAAAAAATAATTTTTATTTTTTCAAAGAATTCCATATATTTTTTTATACTAAGTAATTGAAGTAAGTTTTATTATAAGTTTTATTATTAACTAAGTTTTATTATAAGTAAAATTGAAAAAACAGATCTTGATAATAATTAACTAAATACAGAGATTTAAAGTTATAAAAATTAGAAAAAGCTAATCAAAAGTATATAAAAACCTGATTTTATTTGTAATGCTAAGTTTATTTTAAAACAATAAATATTTAATTAGTTCACATATTTAACATAAACAAAATTAAGAAACAAAATTGCTAAGGATAATGCTTATTTAATTTTCTCGATGGAGTAAAATGTAACTAAAAGAAAAATGTAATTAAGGTTAAATATTTCTTATAACATATTTTATCTTTGATTTTAAAGAATTTTTCAAAAACTTGCAAACATAAAAGTACTATTGACAAAAACAAACAAAAGTTGGCTTGTCAAGAAGAGAATAACTACCTAATTGATTTAGAAGTTCCACTACTTTTCTTTCAAAGAAACAATCTAAAACAACTTAAAAAACATATCTTGTTAATTAACTAATTAAAGAGATAAAAGTAATATAAAAATTAGATTAAATGGTAATAGAAACTAAATTAACAAATAAATTGAAAGATTAAAATTCTACGAGGCTTTTTTCTCGCCATTATAGTCTAAAAAGCACAAATCATTTTAAGAGGCATTTTTCTTATTATTTTAGTCAGAATCTAAGTACAAATCTGGGATGAAATTGTAAAACAAGTATAGGATAATTATTTCTTATAATATATAGAAAAAAATAATTTTTATTTTTTCAAAGAATTTCTTATACTTTTTTATATTAAGTAATTGAAGTAAGTTTTATTATAAGTTTTATTATTAAGTAAGTTTTATTATAAGTAAAATTGAAAAAACAGATCTTGATAATAATTAACTAAATACAGAGATTAAAGTTACAAAAATTAGAGAAAGCTAACCAAAAGTTTATAAAAACCTGATTTATTTGTTATGCTAAGTTTATTTTAAAACAATAAATATTTAATTAGTTCACATATTTAACATAAACAAAATTAAGAAACAAAATTGCTAAGGATAATGCTTATTTAGTTTTCTCGATGGAGTAAAATGTAACTAAAAGAAAAATGTAATTAAGGTTATATATTTTTTATAACATATTTTATCTTTGATTTTATAGAATTTATCAAAAATTTGCAAACATAAAAGTACTATTAACAAAAACAAACAAAACTTGGCTTGTCAAGAAGAGAATAACTACCTGATTGATTTAGAAGTTCCATTAATTCTCTTAGCAGTTCAAATAAACAATCTAAAACTAAAACTAAATCTAAAAAAATAAGAAAAGTACAACTTTGGTATAAGTAAACGAAATTTAAAAATTTTCTTGAACATAATAAAAAAAAATATATATTTCAATTTTTTTTAATATTATACAACTAAATTTATACAATCTTTATTTAAATGTGATGCTAAGATGAAATTGTAAAACAAGTAAAGGATAATTATTTCTTATAATATATAGAAAAAAATAATTTTTATTTTTTCAAAGAATTCCATATATTTTTTTATACTAAGTAATTGAAGTAAGTTTTATTATAAGTTTTATTATTAAGTAAGTTTAATTATAAGTAAAATTGAAAAAACAGATCTTGATAATAATTAACTAAACACAGAGATTAAAGTTATAAAAATTAGAGAAAGCTAATCAAAAGTTTATAAAAACCTGATTTTATTTGTAATGCTAAGTTTATTTTAAAACATTAAATATTTAATTAGTTCACATATTTAACATAAACAAAATTAAGAAACAAAATTGCTAAGGATAATGCTTATTTAGTTTTCTCGATGGAGTAAAATGTAACTAAAAGAAAAATGTAATTAAGGTTATATATTTTTTATAACATATTTTATCTTTGATTTTAAAGAATTTTTCAAAACCTTGCAAACATAAAAGTACTATAAACAAAAACAAACAAAACTTGGCTTGTCAAGAAGAGAATAACTACCTAATTGATTTAGAAGTTCCACTGCTTTTCTTTCAAAGAAACAATCTAAAGCAACTTAAAAAACATATCTTGTTAATTAACTAATTAAAGAGATAAAAGTAATTTAAAAATTAGATTAAATGGTAATAGAAACTAAATTAACAAATAAATTGAAAGAGTAAAATTCTATGAGGCTTTTTTCTCGCCATTATAGTCTGAAAAGCACAAATCATTTTAAGAGGCATTTTTCTTGTTATTTTAGTCAGAATCTAGGTACAAATCTGGGATGAAATTGTAAAACAAGTATAGGATAATTATTTCTTATAATATATAGAAAAAATTATTTTTATTTTTTCAAAGAATTTCATATATTTTTTTATACTAAGTAATTGAAGTAAAATTTATTATAAGTTTTATTATTAAGTAAGTTTTATTATAAGTAAAATTGAAAAAACAGATCTTGATAATAATTAACTAAATACAGAGATTAAAGTTATAAAAATTAGAGAAAGCTAACCAAAAGTTTATAAAAACCTGATTTATTTGTAATGCTAAGTTTATTTTAAAACAATAAATATTTAATTAGTTCACATATTTAATATAAACAAAATTAAGAAACAAAATTGCTAAGGATAATGCTTATTTAATTTTCTCGATGGAGTAAAATGTAACTAAAAGAAAAATGTAATTAAGGTTATATATTTCTTATAACATATTTTATCTTTGATTTTAAAGAATTTATCAAAAAGTTGCAAACATAAAAGTACTATTAACAAAAACAAACAAAACTTGGCTTGTCAAGAAGAGAATAACTACCTAATTGATTTAGAAGTTCCACTACTTTTCTTTCAAAGAAACAATCTAAAACAACTTAAAAAACATATCTTGTTAATTAACTAATTAAAGAGATAAAAGTAATATAAAAATTAGATTAAATGGTAATAGAAACTAAATTAACAAATAAATTGAAAGATTAAAATTCTACGAGGCTTTTTTCTCACCATTATAGTCTGAAAAGCACAAATTATTTTAAGAGGCATTTTTCTTGTTATTTTAGTCAGATTCTAGGTACAAATCTGGGATGTTTTTGAAACAAAGAAGTTTATATAACCTGATTTATTTGTAATACTATGTTTATTTTAAAACGTTAAATGATTGATTGGTCTGCATATTTAGCATAAACAAAATTAAGAAATAAAACTGCTAAGGATAACTGTTATTGAGTTTACCCTATTAGTTAAAATGTAATTAAAACAAAAATCCAGTTAAGGATAAATATTTCTTATAAAATTTAAAAAAGTATAACTTTTGAATTTAAAAGCCTTTTTAACAATTTGCAAGCCTAAATTTATAAAAAAAACAACAACAAAAAAACCATGCCTAGGAAATAAGTAAATAACTACCTGATTGATTTTGAACTTTCAATTTTTCTCGATCTTTATATAAACAATCTATAGTAATATTTCTTATAATATATAAAAAAGTATAATTTTTGATTTTAAAAAACTTTTAAAATATTTTGAAACCTCAAACTACTATAAAACAATAAAACATATAAACTATAAAAACTACTATAAACCTAAAAATACTATAAAAAAAAAAAAAAAAACATTGCGAGAAGTAAATTACTTAGTCGATGTATAAGTTCCATTATTTCTCTTAAACATTCAAGTTCATACTCCAAATTAAAAAAAAGTATAACTATTTTTTAATTTAAGAAAAATTAATAAATTACTTGAAAATAATTAAAATTGCAAAGGATAATGCTTATTGAGTTTTCTTTATTGGGTAAAATAAAGTAAAAAAAAAAATGTACAGGTATAGTTCCCTTAAAAATATAACAAATTTAAATTGGTTTTAATTATTTTGGAAAGCCTAATTTTTTAAAAGTTTTTTTTTTTATTATTATTTTCTTTAAATCTATATAATATCTTCCTGACAGTTGAAAACAGTAGTCAATTTTTTTAAATTTGATTTGTGTTGAAACTTGTCTATTTTGGGCAAGGTGCCTTTAAAAAGACAATCTTGTAATAGTTGATATCTCCTTAACGATTAACTCAATTAGTGGGTTTGCATGGTATTATCTGTTTAGTATAGATATCTTTTAATAGTAAGAAAATTTTTAAAAAATCATTAATATTTGGAAATATTTAATGATTTTTTAAAATAATAAAAAAAATTATGAAGTTTTACCCAAACAATGCAATTTATAATAAGCATTAAGAATCTCATTTTCGGAAGTTATTTTAATAATATTGTATTTTTTTCCTCCCTTTATATTTTAAAGTTTGTTTTGAAAGATAGCAGTACTTTTTATAACAGTTCAATTTCTTTTAACAACAACTTCTTGTTTTGCAACTTCATTTACTTTAATTTTGCAACAAAAAAAAGATTTGAAAATAAGTAAATTGCTGTTTTGTGTTTTTACATTACTTTAATTGTACAGTAATTGTTGTAACAGTTTAAAATGTTCGTTATTATAGATAAAAACAAAAAGGAAACCAAAATTTAGCTTAAGAGTAGCAACAAATGCAAATTCTGTAATTAAAAAGGAATAAATCTGAAACAGCTGTAAAGCAATTTAACCGAGATAAAAGAAACAAACAGATGAACAAAGCTATAGAGTAGTGCAAAATTAATGGAAAACGAGGATCAGTTTCTAAATAATAAAAAGCAAAATTGTGATTGATAAGCAATTAGATAACCTAGTTTTTACAGGAAATTAAAGCAACCATGTAATAATATAACCTACTGAAGAAGAAGATACTGTTGTTGAGTATGATCGCTGTAAAAATTGAGCTTACTAAGGTACGAACATAAAAAAATTAACAAATCTTATTATGGATGTGTTAAAAATTCGAGATGATACCAACTAAAAGATGAAAGGAGGAAAAAATTTATTGCTCTGACTGCAAGTGGAGGAAAGCTCTTTTGAAGAAAAAGTGAAAATGCTATTGTATTATTAAATATAAAAACTGTAGGTTTCTGTATCTGTTTCAAACAAATTTACAGAAAAAAGAACATCAAAAACAATTACAGTGCTTTATTATATAAATCTCTTATATATAATACTGTATTGTACTTTTTAATATCTAAACCCCAAACAGAATTTGATCTTGAAAACTGTTATTTATTATCTAAGTAAATGTAATTCTTGACAAATGTAATTCTTTACTACAGCATTAAAAAGTTAGTTTTATTATTATTATATTTTTATTTCTAGCCTGAGTAAGTCGTTTTGGAGACGATGGGATGTTAAATATGCTAATATTTCTTTAAAAAGACAAGGAATCATCACTATGAATAGAGCAATGAATTGCACTCGTGAAATGGCCTGCTCTCATTTAGGTAATAACAAATATGAATATCACAAAATGTAAATAGCATTTTTTACTGGGATTTGGAACTAGATTAAATGACATCTTTAAAATAAGTCAGAAATGCTAATATCGATTTAAAAATTAGAATCATGTTCCAATTTAGTTTCTAAAGGAAAATTTTAAAGAGTGTTCACTATTTTTTAGATGATCTTGCAAAAGAATTGGTGGTTTGTGGCGTCATGGTTGAAGAAAATCAAAAAGCATCTGGTCATTGGATCAGTCAAATTAACTTTTCTAGGATTTTCTATCATGATGAAACACCACAAAATTAAGTTTACAAAAAGTAATGATATGCAAAAAGCAAGTACAAGAGTAACCCAAGTCCATGGCTCCATAGAAGGTCAAGTTGGGCTATAACTTGTTGAGTCCGTTAACAACTCAAAGGAGAAAAAAGCGCAGGAGAAAGAAGACAAAGAAAGAAAAAGAGTTGTTCTATAGATGCAAAGAAAGATGCATTTTAGACACAACCATTTGCAAAGCTGCAAAACTTAAACAATGCCCTATGTGTCAAATTGTTATGAAATTGGTATGTGGTAAATCAAAGTGCATTGTAGATGGTAAAAGACCAATTATGATTTTACCTATATGTACAAAAATAACCGCTGCAAAGAAGTTGTTTAGAAAGTCTGACGATGAAGAAGACACTATCAAAGATAGTGTCTTCTTCATCATCAGATATTTTTGACTCTATAAATTCCATTAGATTATGGAATCTTTGTTATTATTGATTAAAAAATTGCAGTTATCATTAAAAACAGAGTTTTGTTTGTTATTTTAAAGTTTACTTCTTTGGAAAGTAAAAATAAATTGGCAAAAAAAAATAAAAAATATTGGTGCCATTTAAAAGTCAAAAATATTACTATTTTCAAAGTCCTTTTCAAACAATAAAAACTATATGTTTGTATCAAACAAGTGAAAAACAATTACTTTTCTGCTAAGGACCCTACTTTTTATTTCTAGATGTTAACGGACTTAAATTAAATATTTTTCGTTTTATATTAAGTATTAGTGAATTTTAGTTCTCAAATTTTTGTTTAGACAAAATTAGAAATTTTTTTTAATTTTTGCACTATAACTTAACTTTTTTTCTAAAAGTTATATGAGTTGTTTTTATTATAAAATATTCACACTTTTTTTTTATTTTGGTTAACAATAGTTATTAGTAATATAGTATTTTTATCTTTTTAAGGACACTGTCGTTTTAAGAACATATACCTGTAGTTAAAAATAAATATTTCTTACAATATATAAAAAAGTATAACTGATGTTTTTCAAAAAGTTTTCAACAATTTTCAAACTTCAAATTCTTAAAATATAAATAAAAATAATTAAAAAAAAACACGCCTTGACAATAAGCAAATATTTACCTGATAGATTTTTATATTTCCTCAATCCATCAAAGGAAAAATTGAAATCTATAAAAAAAAAAGGAAAAAATACAACTTTTTTTAAATTTAAGTCAAAGAAACTCAAAAAAAAATTAATACTTGAACATAATTAAAATTGCTAAGGATAATGCTTATTGAGTTTTCTCTATTGGGTAAAATAAAGTAAAAACAAAAATGTAGTTAAAGATAAATATTTCTTATAATATACAAAAAAGTATAACTGATGTTTTTAAAAAACTTTTCAAAAATGATAATATATATATATATATATATATATATATATATATATATATATATATATATATATATATATATATATATATATATATATATATATATATATATATATACATATATATATATATATATATATATATATATATATATATATATATATATATATATATATATATATATATATAAACTACTTCTTGGCAATAAGTAAATAATTACCTGATTGGTTTTTATATTCCCTTATTAAACTAGATTGTTTAAAGGTAAAATTGAAATCTAAATAAAAAAAAGGAAAAATACAACTTTTTTTAAATTTAAGTCAAAGAAACTCAAAAATAAATTAATACTTGAACAAAATTAAAATTGCTAAGGATAATGCTTATTGAGCTTTCGCTATTGGATAAAATAAAGTAAAAACAAAAATGTTGTTAAAGATAAATATTTCTTATAATATACAAATATAACTATAAAATATAACTGATGTTTTTAAAAAACTTTTTAACAATTTTCAAACCTAAAAATAATTAAAAAAAAAAAAAAAAAAAAAAAAAAAAAATATATATATATATATATATATATATATATAAAACTACTTCTTGGCAATAAGTAAATAGTTACCTGATTGGTTTTTATATTCCCTAATTAAACTAGATTGTTTAAAGGTAAAATTGAAATCTAAAAAAAAAGGAAAAATACAACTTTTTTTAAATTTAAGTCAAAGAAACTCAAAAATAAATAAATCACTTGAACATAATTACATAAAAAAAAAAAAAAAAAAAAAAAAAAAAAAAAAAAAAAAAAAGAAAATAATTCATTACTTATACAATTAAATTTATATGCTCTTGATTTAATTGTGATGCTTAGTTTATTCTAAAACTTTAGATTTTATAATTGGTCAGTCAATTTAACATAAACAAAAGTAAGAAATAAAACTATTAAATTAATGCTCATTCAGTTTTATCTAAAATAAAGTTACGACTGTAAAACTAGTAAAGGCTCTTTTTTTTTTATAATATATAGAAAAGTATAACTTTTGATTTTTTAAAGACTTCCATAATTTTATTATACTAAAACTTTTATAAGTAAAATTGAAAAGATATTTCTTGATAATATATAATTAATTACAGAGACAAAAGTTATATATAAATTAGAGAAATCTTCCAAAAAATGTTAATAGAAACTTAATTAAAAATATTCAGAAAGATTTTTATTCCAAGAGACCTTTTTCTCATCATTATAGTCCAAAAAAAACAAATCTGGGTAGTTTTTTAAACAACCAAGTTTATAAAAACCTGATTTATTTGTAAAGCTAAGCTTATTTCAAATTATTAAATAAATTATTGGTCTGCATATTTAACATAAACAAATTAAAGAATTAATATTGCTAAGAATAATGCTTAGTTTTCTCTTCTGGGTAAAATGTAGTTAAAACAAAAATGTAAATTAAAAAAAAAATTTTAAAATACTTCTAAAAAATTTTGAAACCTTAAACTAATATAAAACAATAAAACCATAAAAACTACTATAAACCTGAAACTATTATAAAAATAAAAAAAAACATGGCAAAAAGTAAATTACTTATTAGATGTTGAACTTCCTTTTTTTTCTTGTACATTCAAAGGCATATTTTAAAATAAAAAAAAAAAATACAATTTTTCTTTAATTTAAGAAAAATTAATAAATACTTAAACATAATTAAAAATGCTAAGGATAATGCTTATTGGGTTTTATTTATTTCTCTATTGGGTAAAATTGAGTAAAAACAAAAATGTAGTTAAAGATAAATATTTCTTATAATGTACAAAAAAGTATAACTGTTGTTTTTAAAAAACTTTTCAACAATTTGCAAACCTAAAATTGATATATATATATATATATATATATATATATATATATATATATATATATATATATATATATATATATATATATATATATATATATATATATATATATATATATATATATATATAAATATACATATATATATATATATATATATATATATATATATATATATATATATATATATATATATATATATATATATATACATATATATATATATATATATATATATATATATATATATATATATATATACATATATATATATATATATATATATATATATATATATATATATATATATATATATATATATATATATATATATATATATATATATATATATAAACTACTCCTTGGCAATAAGTAAATAATTGATTTTTATATTCCCTCATTAAAATAGATTGTTTAAAGGTAAAATTGAAATCTGAAAAAAAAAAAAAGAAAAAGTAGGGTAAACTGCGGCAAAGCGAGAGACTTTGATTATTCTCAGGGAGAATGTTCATAACTTGAGAAAAATCATTTTTCACAAGAAGAAATTTTTCAGGCCACTAGCACATTATGTGTCTGATGATCTCTTACATATTTGTAATGATAGGTTGTTGCATTGGTATATAATTAAAATCAAAAAGGCAAAAACTACCCTGTCTCACTTTTCCTTATACCTGGGGCAAAGTGAGACAGATTTTATTTGAAGAAATAACTAAGTAAAAATATAATTTTCATTAAAATTAAAGAAGACTGATAAATTCAATCTGATTAAATATAAGAATGCAAATGAAAACTCAAAGGCATCATTTTATGATGTATGCAAAGTTTTATGTTAGTCAAAAAATTTGAATAAAATCTCTTCACATTAATGTGCAGTCTTTGGGTACATACACACAGTGGCATGTTTTATGAGGGAAACAGTACATACATACAAAACAGTACATACACACAGTGGCATGTTTTGTGAGGGAAAAGGGGGGGGAGGGCATGGGAGCAATATCCTCCTTGGGAATTTTTTCTTTTTTTGTAAATTTACTATTATACAGAATTGGACTATTATACTTACAAATGAAATTGAGCATTATACGTAATTACATGTATATGAATTTGATTATTACACTAAAGTAAAAAAAAATTAAAAAGAAAGTTAATTATAAATGAAAAGTATGCAGATCTTTTTTTTTTAAGCCTTTTTAGCCGACTCCTTTGCAAGTGACAAAACCCGCCCCTGCATACACAAGAAGCTATCCAGTCAATTTGGGTACCATTGCACAATTTCTTTTGACAAACTGGACAAAACCATTCCTCTTTGTTGTTAACATCTTTTTTAATCAAGCATTTCTTTAATTTTTTTTCTTTTTGTTTTTTCAGCTAATTTTCTGTTTTGGAGGATAAAGTTTTGGAATTTGAAGTATGTCTTCAAAAGAACTTGATGAAGTAACGATGGTCTCTGAAAAGCTTTCAATTGGCTTTAACTTATCATGACCCATTGATTCTAATGTAGTCAACTCTGGCTGCTGTAAAATTTTACTTTATTTTTTGTTATTGCATATAGAGTGAATTTCATGAGGTATGGATAACCTGATTTTATTATTATTATTATTATTATCACTAAAAGATGTCATTGGATATTCATTTTCTAACAAATGCCAATTAAATTGTACAATTTCAGTCGCTCTAAAAATTGAAGTAGCATTTTCCATATTAGCGGCTTTTATATATGCTTCATTAAAAATTTCTCCAAGATTTTCTGTTTGTAGTCGTCTTACTGAATGGATTTGCATCCATCTCAAACATGCTTGATTAAAAAAGGTTTTCAAAGGCTTAAAAAATCCATGGTCCAATGGTTGAAGTTTATGAGTTGTTTGTGGTGTTATTGATAGCAAAAACAATCCATTGTAACGAGCATAGTCTATAAGTTTTAAGCTTTTGGTATAAGAACAATGAGGGTCAAATATAAGTTAAACTTTGTTGATCAAGGTGCATTGTACATGTTTAAGAAAATGTTGTATATATTTAAGAAATAAATCAATATTAAACCAGCCATTTTCTGAGCATCCTTGAATAGTTCCAACTGGAGCATTATCTGCAAGTAATAATTTCTTTTTTTTGTGCTCAAATATCATCATAAGTGGTACATAATGACCAACAGAATTAAATGCACATAAATTGTTGTGTCTTCATTTTCCCCACTAGTCACTGATGAAACACTGTTTTCCTGTAGATGAGATAACTTTTAATAACTTATGGATGCATGACAACCCAGACTCATCACAATTAAAAATTTGATGTGGCTTAAAGTGATATTTATCAAATAAATTTTCTAAATTATTAAAATAGATTTAATATTATCTTCATTCAAACCAAATACTCTGTTTATAGAAATTGATTTTGGTTTTCTTAGTGATAAATCAGGATGGCGTTTTAAAAAGCCTTGCACAAAATCTCCTTCTGCAAATTTACTATCTTTGTTAAAAGGATTTGGAATTAAATTTTTTTTTTAGAACTCAAATACTATCAATCAAGTATCCATCATTGAGAGACCATAAAATGAACTGTCCATATCTTTAATATACTTATTTAGATCTTGTTCTTGTTTATCAGAAATATCTGTGAACCATATTATAGGAAAAAACTGATGGAAACTACTTTAAAATATAAAAAAAAACATGATATTTTTTATATTTAATAAAACTAAATTACTGTATTATTTCAAAAATTATTATTATGTACAAAACTAGAAAACCTAATGAATGTCTCACTTTGTCCAAGATTACCATAACATTTATTTGTGATGCTAAGTTTATTTTACAACAATAAATAAACTTAGCATCACAAAAATAAATCAGGTTTTTATAAACAAATATTTTGACTGGTGCCCATCTTTAACATATACAAATTTAAGAAATAAAATTGCTAAGGATAATGCTTAGTTTTCCCTATTGGGTAAAATCTAGTAAAACAAAAATATAGTTAAGGATAAATATTTTTTATAAAATATAAAAAAGTATAACTTGTTTTCAAAAAACATTTCAACAAATTGCAAGCCTAAATTTATAAAAAAAACAATAACAAAAAAACCATGCCTTGGCAAAAAGTAAATAATTACCTGATTGATTTTGAATTTCAAATGATTTTTTTTGATCTTTAAGGAAACAATCTATAACTGAATCTAAAATATAAAGAAAAGTAAAACTTCTTTTATTAATTTAAAGAGATCCCCAACTACTGAGACAAGTTGTGTTCATATTAAAGAAAATGTTTAAAAAAAACATTTGGGCTGAATTTTTTGATTGAAACTAAATAATAAATGCATATCAACAAAAATAAAATTATAGTTTTAGTCAAAGCTTGCTGTCTCCATTTTTTTTTGGTTCTCGGAGTCTGTATAATGTTAGCCACAATCTGCAGTCTTGATAATTTATTCAATGCATGTTTAATTCATAATAGTTTTGGTATATGACCTCATCGTAATATCTTTTTCAGATAGTGTTTTTTTTTTTTTTTTTTTTTTAAAGATATAAGTATTTCTTCTACTACAATCAGAAATTCAAATATTTGTATAATTTTCTACTAAATCACAAAAAATATTTGTGAAAGTAAAAAATTATGCAAATATATAAATATATATATATATATATATATATATATATATATATATATATATATATATATACATATATATATATATATATATATATATATATATATATATATATATATATATATATATATATATATATATATATATATATATACCGCAAGCCACTGGTAGCGGCTTTCGAGTATGCTTTACAATTTATCTTGTTTTGTACATAAATTTCCATTTTAGACACATAATTTGTTTGTTCTGAAGGTTTAATTAATTCTCTACATAATCAAGAAAAAATTAGAGCTATATTTTGTAATTATAAAAAAGTTATCACAAAGTTAAAAAATCTTGAATAATCCATCATAAAAAACTTTAAATTTAGTTATAAAATAAAACAGCATTAACACTGTAAAACTAAACTTATATAAGTGTTAAGTATTTAGTTAAGTAATTACCAAAGTATTTTGAAAAAAAAATTATTATTTTTATTCATTAAACGAGGTTTGTTTTGAACATGTTTTAGTTACTACTTACAAAAACAATAGTTTTAAGCATTTTGCATTTATTATTGTTTAATGATGCGTGTTAAAAACTTTATTATTATTGAATTTTAATTTATTGTCAATGTTATGCTATTCAAACGTTATTCAAAAATATGTGCAGTTGCTACAAAATGATTTTTGTTCGGCTGGTAGCAAACAAAACTTTTATAAGTAAAATTAAAAAGGTATATCTTGGTAATATATAACTAATTATAGAGATAAAAAAATGTATATAAATTAGAGAAAGCGTTTAAAAAATGTTAATAGAAACTTTTAAATTTTAAACTATTAAAAATAATTAGAAAGATTTTAATTATAAGAGAACTTTTTTTTTAATTTTTGATTTTAAAAAACTTTTAAAATTTTGAAAAAAATGAAAAATTTGAAAAATTTTGACACCTCAAACTACTATAAAACAACAAAATCTATAAAACTATAAAAACTACTATAAACCTAAAACTATTGTAAAAAAAAAAAAATCAACATGGCAAGAAGTAAATTACTTATTAGATGTTGAACTTTCCTTTTTTTTTTTGAACATTCAAATGCATATTCTAAATTAAAAAAAAAAGTATAAGTTTTCTTTAATTTAAGAAAAATTAATAAATTACTTTAACATAATTAAAATTGCTAAGGATAATGCTTATTGAGTTTTTTCTATTGGGTAAAATTAAGTAAAAACAAAAATGTAGTTAAAGATAGATTTCTTATAATATACAAAAAAGTATAATATAGTTTATATATATATATATATAAACTACTTTTTGCAATAAGTATATAATTACCAGATTGATTTTTATATTTCCTCATTAAATTTGATTGCTTAAAAGTAAAATTGAAATCTGAAAAAAAAAGGAAAAGTACAACTTGTTTTAAAGTCAAAGAAACTCAAAAAAAAATTAAACGACTTGAACATAGTTACAAAAAAAAAATTAAATTATTTCATTTTTTATACAATTAAATTTATACGATCTTGATTTAATGGCGATGCTTAGTTCATTCTAAAACTTTAGATTTTATAATTGGTCAAGCAATTTAGCATAAACAAAATTAAGAAATAAAATCATTAAAGTTATTGCTTATTCAGCTTTATCTACTGGTAATATGAAGATACAACCATAAAACTCGTAAAGGAAACTTATTTCTTATAATATATAGAAAAGTATAAATCTTTATATTTCAAAGATTTGCAAAATTTTTTTTTAGCTTGGTAATATATAACTAATTACAGAGATGAAAGTTATATAAAAAATAGAGAAAGCTAACAAAAGTGTTCATAGAAACTTAACTATAATTAAGTAGAAAAAAATAAGTAGAAAGATTTTCATTCTAAGAGGCTTTTTTCATCATTATAGTCTGAACCTATTTACAAATCTGGGATGTTTATTAAACAGGGAAGTTTGTATAACCTGATTTTAAAACAACAAATATTTTGATTAGTCAGCATAAAACAACAATTTTAAACAAAATTAAGAAATAAAATTACAAAGGAAAATGCTTATTGAGTTTCCTTGATTGAGTAAAATTTAGTTAAAACAAAAATGTTGTGAAGGATAAATATTTCTTATAATACATAGAAAAGTGTTATTTTCGATTTTTCATCTACTATTTATGTCCTCAAAAGAAAAAAATGTTTATTTAACACAAACAAAAGTAAAAAGAATAAACAAAAATGGTTATTTAGCAACCAATAATTTGTTAAGGATTTCTTACAAAGTATAGAAAAGCATATTTTTTAACTTAACATAACTTTAAAAAAAATTATCTTACCAAAACTGTTAAAAAACAAACAAACAACCATGCCTTAGTAATACATAAATAATTAATTAAAAACATCATAAAATTTATTAAGCCTGATGTATATATAATCTGAGAATAAATGATCATAAAATAACTTAAATAAAAAATTGTAAAATGTTAAAAATAAAGGATAATTCTAAACAATCTACAAATCAATAAACTAAAAAAAAAAACAAAACAAAAAAACAATATAACAAACAAAATTTCAAGTTTAAGAAAATAATAAAAAATAATTAAGTTTAAATAATCAATTAAGTTTGATATTAAAACAAAAATTGAAAAACATTAAAAACAAAATTAAATAAAAAAAATTCCATTACACCTTCTATGTCATAATATAATTAAAAAATAAAAATAAAACTTGATTTTTATATTTGAGTAAAATTACTCAAATATAAAAACTAATTTTAAAAAGGTCAAAAAGTATTTAAACATAAAAAAAGCAATATTCTCATTTAGAAATTAATTAGACTAGATAATAGAAAAATTAATAAAACTAGATAATAGAAAAATTTAAATTAAAGTCATTTTATCTAAATGTCTATCTTATCTATTATCTAAAAGTCAAAATGAATGTTTAGACTAAAATGACTTTAATTTATTAGGATGTTTTCAGAGAGATCAAATTTAAAGAAGACCCAATTTAATTGATTTATTGATGCAAAGTTTATTTTAAAACTTTTGATGATGTAAATAGTCAGTCAAATAATGTTAACAAAATAAAGTAATAAAAAAAAAATTAAGTTTTCTCTATTAAATAATAAAAATAGAAATTATTAGAAACTTCAAATTTCACTTGAATTAAATAGACTTGTATTTTTTGTGGCTTGGTAAGTCGCAATAGATTAAATCTAAGTAAGAACTTGGAAATAAACAACCAAGTTTATACCAACCCGATCAAAACTTTATATTTTGCAATTAAACAGACAATTTAATGCAAACAAACTAAAATTGTACTGTTAAAAATTATTCAGTTAACTCAATAAAGTAATAAGTAGTTAAAATCAATACATTCTCTATATAATAGTCTTATTGCATAGAGAAAGTAGTGTTTTTGATTTTACAATATATATAAAATATACTTTGAACCTAAAACTACTAAAGTTAAAAAAAAGATAGCTTGGTATAAAGCAAATAAATATACGGTAATGTATACTTTTTATGTATGATTTAATTATATTTTTTAAAATTAAAATTAAAAATTAAAAAAAATCATTTTTTTTTGTACGTTTAAATAAAAAAGGGCTCAAAAAAATTACTTGAACATAATTAAAAAAATAAATATTTATGTTTAAATTTACTATTTATGTCATTGACATAAATGTAGTTATATTACCACAAGATATCAAAAATTATAAATCTAACTTATAAATAATTAGATTTGCATTCTCAGAGATATTGTAACTTGAGATATTGGTCAGCCTATTTAATGCAAACAAATGAAAGAAAGAAAATTGTGAATGATAATGTGTATTCAATTTTATCTGTTGGATAATATTAAACAGTTTCAAAAACAAATGTTTTACAATAAAATAGTTTTGAACTTTGTGTTCTATTATCTCATTTCAATATATTTGTTGCCAGTTAAGTCATCCATTTCTCAAGGCTTTGAAGAAATAAAGAATAAGAAATAACTTAAAACTTTTTTTTCTTCAGTCTGTATTTAATATCACATATATATCTTCTAGTGATGTATATAAAATACTATTGAAATCCTGATTTCAGTTGAAATTATCTCTACAGCAGCCGTTATAAACTACATTTTTAGTAAGATCTTCATTTTTTTGTTACAATAAAAGTCTGTAAAATACACTAAATTATACTTACTAGGTTGTTCTCCAAAAAAAAATTTATTTAAAAAATTTTAGTAGAGTATATAGTGGCTAAACATGACTAAGCTCTTACTGTGCAATTTGGAAAGTATAAACAGTTCACTGTGTCTTAACCACTAAGAACAATGCGCGTCAATAGTTTCTTGCTGCCCCCCAGGCTTTCAGCTGCCTGATCAAAGTTACCTTTTTTTGGAAACAATAGGCAAAGTAAAATTAAAATAAATATATATTTTGACGACATCATAACAAAACATGGAATAAACGTAAATAATCTTTCAATTAGTTGCAAGTCATAGTTCTTATATAAATATTGATCAAGATAAAATTTTCTATCCAACCGAATAAAATTTAGAAGATTTTAAAGGTTTCAAAATAGACTCTTTTTTGCGTCTAAAATTGCCTCAATAAGGATATTACTGTAGTACAATCAACTGGTTTTTTTTTACGCATACCCAAAGACTGTGGACTTTCTCTCTGTCAAATTTCAGCATTTTACTAATTTTTTTCTAGGTTTGAACCTATTTTTTGCAAATTTTCTCCTACTATTTGCAACACTATTCTGTTTTTACTATTTGCAACACTATTCTGTTTTTACTATTTGCAACATTATTCTTTTTACTATTTGCAACACTAATCCTTTTCCTATTTGCGACACTATTCATTACTTTATTCAAATATACGCCTTCTGTAGTATATTTTATTCAAATATACTACATATATACTCAAATTCTATTCATTAAATTCTTTGGCGAAACTATTCCTTTTTTTTGCGACATTAGACCTTTTTAATATATTCGACACTATTTCGAAACTCATTTTTCAACATTACTCCTGTCACCCGAGAAAGTTTATTAGAATGCCACTGAACAAGATTTTCAAGATCATAATTAATATGTTTGGTTATTTTTTCAAGTGATTTAATAACCAATAGCATATCAGCAAAAATATTAATTTAAAGCTTAGATTATTTTAAAGGTTAAAATTTAATTTTAAAACTTAATCTATGTATGATACTGGGATATTTTCTAAACAATTAGATTTAATTGTTATGCTTTTTATTCTAGATATTTTAACTGAAATTTTAACACACACACAAACTATAATACAGTGTTTTAGCAATACACAAAAGTAAGAAAAAAAAAGTTAACAATTAAGCTTATTCAGTTTTGTCACTTAGGAAATTTGTAGTTGCAACTGATATTTCTGATAACATAGGAAATTATAATTTTTAACTTAACATCATTTTGCAAAAATTTTATATACCTAAAACTGTTATAAAAAAAATAACTATTAGTAATAATAAATACTAAAAAAATTAAAATAATTACTTGAAATTTTATAAGACCTATTAAGCCTGGTGTATTTATGATTTAAGAATAAATAATCATAAAATGGCTTTCAACAAAAATTGTAAAACGTTAATAATAAAAGGTAATAACATTTTATTTTACTTTTTAGTGCTAGATATGGCTTTTTTACGTATTTTGATGTAAAAACGGCAATTACTTTTAAGCGTAAATTACTTACATAACTCATATTAAAATATATAATTTATTTACATTTAAAAGTAATTCTTTTTTTTTTTTTACATAAAATAATACAACATGTAAAACGTAGTTACTCAAGTTTAGTTTTTTAAATGTGAAAAATGTGAAATGTGTGGGGCATTGTGAAAGGTTTTTTATTCATGTATATCATGAAGGTGACTAATTATAATTGGGGCCAAATATAATCAACATGCGGGTATTCCAGCAGCAGAGATGGGCCCCCTGCTTTGTGAGAGCTATTGTGCTAATAAAGAAAAGGGTTTCTAAATAATAATTATTTTTTTTTTTTTTTGTTGAGCAGAAATATGTTGGTGGGGATAAAGAAACTTTGGCAACGGGGGGATGGGGGCATAATTTCTTGCTACGCTACTGGTTGCTACCCATACATGCATACCTTGACTAAGTCAGTGTTCATTAGACTGGACTTTTTATACAGTTTTTTTCTTTATATTTGCCTTTTAAATCAAGTATTTTGTTATGGTAATATGGCGCAATTTAAAATGTTTGGTTTCAGCAGGGAAATGGACTGCTAAAACAGTATTATAATTTATTTAAAAACTAACTAAAAACAGTTAATATAATTTATGTGATAAAAGACATACTTATCAGGTATAAACTGGTATATATGGTAAATATGGTAAGGAAAGACCGTCAACCTTCTAGTAAAGGTTGAGGGCAACCCAACCACCTTTATTTCAGCAGCGCTTTGGTGTTTAACCCACTTTAGGAAAATTTAAAGAAAAAACTTTATACAATTAAAATAGTGCTTTAGGATAAACTCGTAACTTTTTTTTTTAATTTTTATTTGATTTCACAAGTTGTTAGTGAGTTATCAGTTGTCCCTGAATCTTTCAAATTATTTTTCACTACCTTTCAGACTAGCTAGAGCTCTGAAACTTTCAGCAATTGTGTAAATTTGATCAAATGTGTATTTTAAAATTGTTTCAAGAGCCAACCGGGAAACTACCCTTTTTTGAATCTCTTTTTTTTTTTTTTTAATTTTATCTTTCAGACTTGTTAGAACTCTGAGCATTCGTATGTTATATTTGTTTCCCATGCAAGGAAACAAGTCCTAACTTTTCAAAGAGAAGAATAACTCCGCTAAGCCGCTGAACTAGCAGGAATTATACTTCCATTTGATCTTTAAGGAAGCCATCTTAATCCAAGAAGAGAAACAAAAGACAAAGTTATGAAGAAGACAATTTTGCCAAAGCTGGTGAAGTTTTTTCCACAAATTTGGTTAAGCATTGATGGATTTGAAACTAAAGTTGAGTACATAAAAACAAACAGTGAAAAATGTGTACAGTTAAAACATTTTGGAACAGAGTGGGATGCTAAGCACATCAGAGACATGTTTAGCATAGAAATGACATTTTTTACATTACTATACTTCCCATTTTACAATACATTTTTAAATTTAAAATTATATGGTCAATTATAAAGAGAAGTGTTCTATATAATAAAATAACATCAAGTGATTTTTTTTTCCAATAATTTTTGTAACTTATTTTACTTTAAATTTTCAAAATTTAAAAATAAAACAATTAACAAAAATGCAAATCACAATATTTAAACAACCAAATCACATATTTAAAACCCAATCACATATTTAAAATCAGGCCTGTAGCAAGCTTTTTGCTTTTGTTTGAGAATTTAACTTGATGTAACGACACAAAGCAAACTCCAAACATTTATATGTTCATGTTTGTAAAATAAAAGCTTTGCAAAATTATTGCAATAATTGGAGTCTGTCAACAATAATCCTCTAAAATGTTTACATCCCTCCCATAGCGTGAGAGCAACAAGTTTATAATATGTATACATTTTTTAAAAACATTTTAAACTAAATTTAAGTTCATAGACAAATTTCTAAAGGCATGCAATAATAGTAACATCCCTAATTATTTAAGATATTTAAAATAATATTTTTAATTAAGTTATAAATTCATTTGACAATCAAATTCTGTTCCTCATTCAAAAGTTAAGAGCAAAAGTTAATTTAACCCTTTTTTTTGTGAATAAGTAATCAAATGACACAAACTTACTTGTAAAAATTTGTCAAAGATTAATAAAGAAAATTGAATTTTTATAAATGATTTTTGGCTATAAGCCTATTCCAAAGGGAATTAGCAAAACGAAATGGGGGTTGGAGAAATTTAATTTGGGGCACATTACCTCCTAGAAATATATTTTATTGAATTTAATTGGAATATAATTGGAATTATGGTATTTTATCCATGTATATTTGTCTTTCTGAAACTTGAATTTATTAAGTTTATTTTAGTTCACAATTATAGTTTTGTAACTTTTGGAAAAATTAATACTGTTGTAGTATGTTATTTTAGAAAACGATAAATATTTCTAAAATAACATACTAAAACAGACAAAATTTGAATAAATAACAGAAATTTTAATAAATTTTATTTTAAACATATAAAATAATGGTGCTATATCTATGAAAATACAAGTTAAAAAAAATATATGATTTAATATTAATTCTATTTAAATACGAATGGTATTACGTGATATTATACCATATCAAAAGCAATATAAAAAGGTTTTATAATTTGAAAGTGCAACAATTCCTTTTATCACTAAACCAACTAGAATTACTTAATCAACAGCCTCTTTTAATAATATAGTTACGTACAAATGAGAATATCTGAAGACCTTTTAATGTGTTGTTTAAATCATATTAAACTTGTTTAAAGTCTTTATGGATTGCCAATAATATAATGATATCTACTTGCATACATTTTGTGATGTAATAATATTATAATTATGAAAAAGCAACGACTTTGATTGAAATAATTATTAACAGCAATTTAACTGCCATGTATAAAGCAAACCATTACAAAACAATTCATATATAATGCAATAATGAAAAAAAAAGTTAAAGCTGGATATATTAAATCTAACAAACTTAGCATACTTTATATATTTAATAGTGCATCTATCCAAGTGAATATACTTGATGGAACTTTTTTTTTATGGTGTCCTATTTCTTTATTGTATTATGATATTATATCGTTGTATAAACAAGAACAAACAAAGTGTCACTGAACTATCTTCTTGTTTATATCTCATTAGAATGTTTAAAAAAAAGATTGAAACAACCACCTCATTTGGTGAGGGTGTAAACTTTACATAATCATACCTTTTGAACACTAAAAAATAGGTATATAAATTTTGAAACCTGTCTACTTAAATTTAGTGTAAGAAAATAAAAATAGTAAAAATTACTAATTCGTTGCACACACATTTTAAGTAGAAATTGTAAATGTTTTAGGGTATTTTTGTTTCCAGGCTCCAATCACCAAAATTTTTATTTCTAAATCTATGCATAAATTGTTACTACATCACAGCTTGAATTTTACATAAATGACACAGTGGGGTAGCAAAATATTTTTGGCTGGTAGGAATATGTTGCTAAGGTGCTCAAAAACTGCTTCTCTAAAAAATAACTTGAAAAAAAAAAAAAAAAACTCTTTAAATATATCTTGGGGTTCCTAAACCTTGCGGCCTTGGGCCCAGTTGTTTGAGGGAGCATAGGTTTTTTCTAAAAATGGCCTTGCAGTTATTAGGCCACTGGTATTATGCGCAGATAAAGATATTTAAATAAATAGTTCTAAATTTTTCATGCCTATTTAAAATACCAAAGTTCATTTCATGCCCATATAAGTCTTAATCCTGCTCTTAAAACAAGTGCAGGATTAGGACTTGCAGGGTCTAGGGATATTTTAGTGCAGGTGGACATTTTTCTTATCTAAGTGGCAAAAAAATCTTATAAAAATAAAGAAATTTCTTAAAAAGTTGAGGTTTTAGCCCCCATACCGGTACTGGTTTAGACTTTCCCTCTTTAGTTTTTAAATAATAAAACTTTTATGCAAAAAACTTGTAAAAAGAACTAACAATTATGCCAATTATGCATTTCAAAAAGTCTACCCTCTGAATCTCCCATAGGTATATGCATCTTCTGCTCACTACCATGTTTCAGTTTTGTCTGAATTCTAGACCTTTTAAATGGTTGGCCAGGGCTTGAATATTTTTGAAAGGTTTGATTTAAAGTATGGTTTTTATAGCCAAAACTGGAATCATGGAACAAAACTAGAGAGTTTTAATCATGGGCAGAAACCTATTATTTATATTTTTAAATTTTACAGACAAGAAATACCTAAAACCGCACAAACCAAATGTTGCCGCAAACTAAGTGTTAGTTACTTAAAGTTTTACTTTTTTCCATTACTGTTAATAATTATATAAGGCCCTCTTACTGTTGTACAAGATCCTTATAAAGTTATTGTAGAATATAAGTAAATTTTTTTATAGATCACTTTCAATTTACTTTACAAATTATATAAAATGTAAGCTTATGTAATTTAAATTTTATTTTATATATTTTACTTTTTAATAATAGTTTTTTATTACTTTAAAAAAAAAATGTCTAAATTTTTTTTATTACTTTTAAATTAAAAAATATTATTTTATTTGTAAATTTAATTTATATTTGGCAGCATATTACTTTTATGTAATTCATTTTCATATGCAAGTTTTTTTTTATAATTATGATATTATCTTTTTTTAAATTGGTTATTTTATATGCAAATGTAAATTACATTTTGAGGGACTATTACATTATGTAATGTAATTTTAAAAAGTAATTAACCTTTACACTTGAAAGTAAACAGCTTTTTCATGTGATTTTTTGTACATGTAAAAACAAATTACTTTTTGATACAATCTTCTTTTACTTAACTTACTTTTGAAAGTAAAAAAAAAAAGTTTAAACATTATAAAGTAGAAGTCATTTTATTACTAATATATTAAATTTTAATTTATGAACATTTAAAACTACTTATGTAATTTACTTTTTTATAAAAATTAACATGAAAGTAAAAAAAAGTTAGTAAAAGAACCACTTCGCTACTTCGTGCAGTAAATAATTACCTTTGCTGAATAACTACCTGAAGTTTTTTTTAGACATTTTATGTTTGATGTACTCATATTCTCTGATGCTAAAAATAAATAAATTTTTTTTAATATTTGAGTAAAAATTACTAAAAAATAAAAATATTATTTAACGGTTAGGGGACAAATCATAATGTTCTCTATTTATTGATTTTTTTTCAATCATTTAGTTCCTTAAGTTAAATATCCCAAATTATTTTTCACTAAATAAGGTCTTCAATTTATCACAAACCAATGCATAAAATCATATATAAGTAACCTCTTTATCTAAAACCAATAAAATCTGTTACACTGTTTAAAAACTTTATTAATATTATTATCATTATTGTTATTATTGCTATTGTTGTTATTAACATTATTACTACTTGGTATTGATAGTATTTAGTGATATTAATAAATATTATTACTGTTATCATGGGACAATAATAATGATAGTTATAGAGTTATAACATTAATAAAAATATTGATAAATATCACAGTTAAATATTAGCAACAATAACAAGTAATAATGACAAGTAATATCACATATAATTGTGCAGTTTTATAGCAATAACTTTTGAAAAATTATTATAGTAATAGTATAGAAAAACATGTGAAATTAAAAAGTAATAATAAAAACACTTTTAAAAAAAACATAAATTTGGGCCCCAGCATATTTTTATATTCCAGGAGCCATGCTTAATTATTTTTTTATAACTATAATTTTCCTTTTTAATTTTGCTTTAATATAATAATATAGTTACAACTATTACAATACTTATAATTTTCTATAATCTAATATTTAATTCGGAAATATACAAGGATGTTTTAGAATATTTTATATTATACTTAGCTTTTTTTTTTGGTGTAAGTATATATAAATATATGTAGAGATTGAAGTAGAAGAAACTTTAATTATTATATGGATGTTTTATTTTATTATTATCCAATTGATGTTTAGTTTAGATTAGTATTACTACTATTTGTACTATTTGTACTATTTGTATATAACCATGAAATGTGATGACAACATTTTTTATTTCAGAATATATATTGTTAATGTTACACATTTTATAACACTTAAGCATTATGTTACACATTTAATGCTACACATTTTATAGCACTTAAGCATTATGTGTATATATGTGTGTGTATGTATGTATGTATGTATGTATGTATGTATGTATGTATGTATGTATGTATGTATGTATGTATGTATGTATGTATGTATGTATGTATGTATGTATGTATGTATGTGTGTATGTATGTATGTATGGTATGTATGTATGTATGTACGTATGCATGTATGTACTTTTTTTGTAATTCACCTCCGTAAGAATGAGAAGGCCACTACAGATGAGTAGGCTACTTGTGGTTATAACCCTCTCTCAACTTTATAACTCTGAACCTTGATGAACAAGGCTGCTGCGCAGAGAATCAAGATGAGCACGATACTACCAGGGACATGGTGGGAATTGAACTTGGAACCTCTTGCTTATGAAGCAAGTGCTTTACCACTACACCACTACCGCATATTATATATATATATATTTATATATATATATATATATATATATATATATATATATATATATATTAAGTTTATATATATATATATATATATATATATATATATATATATATATATATATATATATATATATATATATATATATATATATATATATATATATATATATATATAAATTAAGTTTATATATATATATATATATATATATATATATATATATATATATATATATATATATATATATATATATATATATATATAAGCTTAATTTCATATGTATAATATTAACTATATAACTCTTTTATTTTATACAAAGGCTCTTGTACATGTTACAATAGTATTAAATAAAACAGCAATATATATATATTATTTAGCTGAATAAAAAACTGATTAGCATGACTTAAAGTTTCATGTCTGAAGGCAAACATCAGCTGTAAATACAAACAAAAAACGGAAACAAACCATTACAAAAATGTAAAAATTACTGTAGAACGAGTTAAATGTGGTAAACTAATCTAAGTTAAAAACAAAATAAAAAAAATTAAAATTCTACTAGTCATACAAAGAAAATAAGAACTTTTTTAAATGCAAACACCGAGATATAATATTTTTTTTTTATATAGTAGGTTTTTGCAGCATTTGATAATTTTCCATTTTATAAAAGGCTTTATGTTTTGATCTTGAGGCTATATTTGCAGATTGTTTTGGTTCTTAAATACAGTAAGACCCTCATCGCAATATGAGTCATAATCTTTTTTATTATAATGCTATGAAATTTGAAACAGTATGAAACTACCTATAAACTCGCAAACCTCAACACCATCAAAAGCCCACATCATAACATCAAACAACCAGCCTCTTTTTTTAATTTATGCTTTTTCATTATAGAAGATAAGCAATATTCTTGCCTTCTTTATCTTCAGCTTTGATAATGATACAGTGCTCTCTATTTTAGACACTCACTATTTCAAATCTCAAATAAGAACATTGCTTCTTTTCTTGTTATTTAGAGTCGCACCACACGTTTATCTGATCATCATTTTTTCTCTACTCACACATCATAACACTCCTGGTACATGTGATGTGTATTAATTTCCTTAACCTTTATTGTTGTACCTCTTTTCTGCTTGCTCATTCTCAACTTTATATTATAGATTTTAGTCATATTCAAGTTTATTATAAGCCCCTTTCCTTTCATTTCATTTTTGCAACACTGAACTATTAGTATTATTCTTTTTGTTTCAGCAATTCATCTGCATTAAATAGCTTCTACGAAATTCTTTAAAGAAACATTAATAAAAAGCAAAGAATTAAGCACTGAACCCTGACACACAGTAACCTTTAATTCAAAACGATATTTTAGCCTCCCTGCTACTGTAACATATTCAAACAGAGCCATGATAACCATCACCAGCCATTCTTCAACACCTAAATACTACTCTCTTGATACTGTGCTAAAAATTTTATCTAGGTCAAAAAATCAACCATTGCCATCCAAGTACTTTCTTTTCCAACATCGTTCTTGAACTTACCTTATATAAAATATTATACCTGTTGCTGCTCTGACCTAAAACATAACTGCATATTATAGATAAACACACAGTTTCTTATTTTGTTATTAATAATTCTTTTTAAAATCTTCATTACTTTGTCGAGCAGTTTTATTTCTCTTTTATATTTCTTTTATAAATCTTAACAACTTAACTTTTTTTAATCATTAATCATAAAAAAGCCATAAGTTTCTGCTGCAAAAGCCACATGGCTTTTGCAGCTGAAATTTTTTCATTTATAGAGAACTCTAATTGTATAACTTTTTCTCCCCCAATATAGTTTTTGTTAGAATCTAAATATAAATGACAAGCAGTTTTTGAAAATTTTAGATCAGACACTGACTTATGTTTAGGTTTTGAAGAATGTTTATGAGAATAACAACTATTTTGAATAATAACTGAAAGATAGCTATAAGTATATTTAAAGATTTTTCTTACGAAACAGTATTTTTGATCCAAATACCAAAAAATTGGCCAAAAGCGAGGCTAATTCATAAACCTAAACTATATTTTGGTCATGTAACAATTTTATTAAACTTTTTCTTGAGTTTTTTTATTTATTAATTAATATACATACACCTTAATAAAATTGTATGCACAAAGAGAAATTTTTTTAAAAAAAATGAGCAGTGGTGGGCATAATGCTGTTAACCCGTTAATCACTAATTAACTGTTAAAGTTTTGGTTAACTATATAACTATTTAAAATCACTAGTTAGCTGTAAAGTGCTGCTAATTAAAAAAAAAAATGGTTTTGTCTAACCACAAACCCCGCTAGTCACAAAATCTTGTATTTCTCAAAAAATAGGCTCTTATGACATCTGGAGAATCTTTAACAGTATATATAAAAAGTGGAAATTTGTTATTCCACCTCTCTTGCATGGTTCAGATTTTCTTACCTCACCAAAACTAAATTGTTTGCTAAGAACTTTTCATCAAAATCATCTCTTGATTCCACTAGTTGCGTTCTACCTGATATAGCTAACAAACAGGTTGATTCATTGCTTGACATTCCATGTATCACTTCAGTTTCTGTATCTAAAGTGATTTCCTGCTTGTGGTCTGGACAATCGAGCGCTATTGCTGACCACGCAAATGATTTTATTTCTTGACAACTTGACCGCGATTGTTTATATTATTTATAATATGTTTTAATTATTTAAACATTTTAGAAATGCGCTGAATGTAGAAACGCTAAACTTATACTAGGAAAAAAGTTAAAAAAAAATTAAAGAAAAAAATTCCTAAAGAAAAAAGAAACGAAAATAATTCTTTACAAAAAAAAAAATTATATAAGCACTATAATAAATATAAAAAATAAAAACTTTTTTTTACGTTTTTAATCGCGTTTGAAATAAATTTTTTTAAAGTTACACAAAACACTTTAAAATTAACAAACTACTACTAACAATTGTTTAATAAATGAACAATTTTTATCAAATTTATTAAAAAGTGATGTATTTAATATTTTTAAATTGCATATACATTTATTATTTCAAAAAAGTTGCAAAAAAAAAAAATTGTTCAAAAAAATAACGTCTTTTTAAAAAAGTAATTTTTAATAATTTCATGCTCTAATTAATGTCTAGCTAAAAAAAGGTTTCCAATTCTTTTAATCACAAAAATGATAAAAAAATAAATAAAATCCACCTGCAATTTAAATTAAATAAACTGCCAACAATTTAATTTAATTTTAATTTGAGCATTGTAACTTTATTATTAAGCGCTTCACTTAACAAATTTAAAAATTATTATGATTTCAACTCATTCATTCTTAGGGATACCAGACGTCCGGCTTTTACAAAGGAGAATCCAATGCCAAACTTGTATAAATAAATTTTTTTACTGTGTTCTCCTACATAAAAGCCGGACGTCTGGCAAACCTATTCATTCCTATTTTAATTGGAAAACAAACAAAAAAAAAGTTGTTTTTCAAAAAATAAAATGTTTGTTTAAAAGATTTAAAAAAATAGTAAGTTATAAAAATT